CGCCGTCCTAATTTTTGTTTACTCCATGAAATACTAATCAGAATTAACCCCTTCGCGTACGATCTGCAACGGGAAATCGAGCACGCGAAGGTCCTTACGTGGCCAGGACATGACACCGAGGGCAAAGGATAAGAGAGGAAGGAAGGAGAAGGAGCAGGAGACAGAGAATCTCAGCGACGCGCCGGCTAGACGGCATCGTAAACTTTCGTCGTGGAACTTTTGAATTTTAGTAAGAGCCGCTCTCTTTCTCTATCTCCGTTCCTTCCTCCGCTAAAGCTCATCCTGGCCTTATAAATTAGAGGTTCCCATTCTCCGTTACCGCATCGGACCCGCCGAATCCCGTTCAGCGTCGATTACCAACGAATCCTGGAACTAGCTACCCGTACCGGAAGATCGAAGCCTTGGAAGTAGCGATTCTAAGGGAAGACGGACAGAGGTCGCCAGGAGTATCGAAAAAAAAAAGGACACGGGGTTTGCTTCCTGACCGAGCAATAACGAAAAAATGCATGGGGTCGGTTGTTGGAAAGTTTGCCGAGTTGACGACCAGGTGAGCGTGTACCTCGCTCGTCAATTCGTTCTTCATTCAAGTTTTCGAATAGACATTTTATTAGGGTCATTCTAGATAGCGAAGAATGAAAGGGGTGGAAATTCGGGGACGATAAACTGATTCGAGACGTTGCTCGTTGCACCGCGATTTAACAAAATCATTTTTCACCTTATAGATCATTCGGAATGCTCATCACTGACGGTCACTGATGATCGAGAGACAGCTGGCTTGCACGGAAACCTGACCGTCTGATCGTTGCTCACCGTGTACTTAGCATAGAAACGGCCTTCCGGGTCATAGGTATTCAGATTTTCTGTTTCTCGGCACCCAGTTTCCTCGAGGATTCGCGAAGGGTGCCCGGTAGCTTGGGCTGGGTGGCCCAGAGGGGGACAAGGATGAAGCAGCTATGGAAGGAAGGGGTTTGAGACGAGAAGAGGTACATCGTGGCAGTAAAGGAAGCACAGACAGACGGGTGTATAGAGAGAAAGAGCTGTAACGGAAAGAGTGGAAGAAAAAGGGACACGAAGAGAGAGAAAGAGAGAGGGTGAGAGGGGATAATTCCACGGCTAAATATCGGTAAAAATCAATACTATCTCTTTCCTCGGTGCACCGCCATCGCGGCTAATAATGCACGAGGAGAATATGGATCCTCCAGGAAAAAAGAAATGACGTGTCGTTTTTTCGAACTTTCAATCTTTCTTTCTTAATTATTCATTTCCGTATCGTGGCCGGAGAAAGTTTAACAGGACATCAATCGTCGATTAACACTTCGGCTACCACGTTCAAGTCACTGAGTTTCATCGAGTATCGCTTTTATTTATAAGAAATCTTATCGACTACTTTCATAGTATCTTTCTGCTCCTATTATCTATTATTTCAAGCATCTAATATGAATGCTTTTAATTAGATAAACAAAAGAATTTCTCGAGGCGTGGGTGATGAACTCCCATGGAGGGAGTTCCGATAGGGAGATTTTCGAAACATAATCGTAATCATGGGCAAAGTCATAAATGAATTTTCTCTACCAACTGATGTGTTTTATAACATCGGAACACGGTTGGTAATTATTGTTTGATATTAATTAAACAAACCCTTTTTCTCGAGGAAACAATGCAAAATGCAGGACTGCAAATGAGGACTCGGATAACAAATTAATTAACAATTAATTAATAATAGTATTTCCAGGCGCAACGAACTGAACCAAAGTTACAAATATTAATTTAACCCGTACGCGAGCTACGATTCGTACGTGTGAACTTTAAATACACCCTTTATTTTTCACGCGAAAGTTATTCATTTGATACTAATAATCAAATATTGATAAGGTATACGAAATATAAAATATTATTAAACACCTTAAGCTTCAATTTGCCGGCCCCTACCACGTGGAAACCGCGTTTCCTATCGTTTGAAGGCGAAAATCGAGAAACGATCAATGTTTTCAAGCACTGATTAAGAAGGTAAGTGCACAGCTGACCTAAAACCGAAATACAGTATGGGGTAGCGATCAATTACCATGGCCCGTTGCGAGAACGCGGTATAAACAGACCCAGCTTGCGGCCAGAAGACCGCTATAAAGCGATACGAATTTCTGCTGCTCGTTTTCTCAAACGTTACCAGGAGTAACAGCGTGGAACCACGGCCTCGACCACGACCTGAGACAAACGGTAAGGAAACGCACGCCGTCGATGGGCAACGCTCACGAGGATCCCTTTTACACACGCGAACGGTGTAAACGCTTTGCTGGACGAACGCAGCCAGAGGAGCTGCTAGGGCCCAGAGACCGACGACGGATCGCCACCCCATCCTCGATTTTATACCTACACCTATAGCACCCCGTCCCGTTCCATCCCTTCTGCCCTCCCCTCCTCCAACCTCTACCTTGCGCTCGCTACCCAAACCCCTGGAAGCAAGGAACAGTGGGAGAGGGTAGGTAGAGGATTCAAGTGGTTCTCAACGAAATTTTTTTCCCTTGCATTTCGAAATTTAGGATAATCGTAAATTGATTATGAAAGGTTTAATTTATTCTCTTTTATATCTTCATTATTCGTATGTTTCGAATGAAAAAAAAAAAACTTCGAATCTCAAGATAAATAATTTGCAAAAGGAGATTGATGATCAAGATAAGAACGCAGCAAGAAAATAATTTACAGGTAATGTATGATATCTGTGAGAAATTAAAAGACAGAAAATATGAGAACCTTCGTACCACCCTTGCACCCCTCGAGCTCCCTCCACTCGTTGGTTCACCCGCCCTCCGTAACACAGGGTGGCTAGGAGGCTTTAGGGAGAAAAGGGGAGGTGGGTCGCGTACTACCACCTACAAAAGTATACCGTCACCTCCCGCGGTACAATCCCTGCCAAGATTCTGACACGCCGTTATTTTATTCTCCGACTCTGCCCTCCCGCCCTCTACTTACCCCTTTTCAAACAATACGCGTCGCTGGTTACAATGCAATAAAAACAAAGAGAGAGAGAGAGAAAAAAAAATGAGAGAGAGCAAGGAAAGAAGAAAAACGAGGAGAAGGAACAGACTACAAAAGTCCACTTCATTCTCGTTAATTTATCTTACTGCAATTCCTTCGTCGTGGAGTGAACTTGCCGCAAAGAATGGAAGGGGAAAGTGCGAACTAAGTTGCGACAGGTAGACAATTATTCAACGTCGAGAAAATTATAGGGCTACCGGGGGTTAATTAAACCGTGACAGAAATTAAAATTCATATTAACATCGCCCGATACTCTCTCCAATTTTCCTAACAAATACGGATGATACAGTAATCAAAGAAACACCACCGGAAAGCCACTTTCGACCATCAAACATTGCAGCAATTCAAATTAGAACGCTAATGTTGGAACCAGGAAAACCTAACTTTCGATCACGCGGGATAAACATAGCAAAGACTGAAACTACCATTAGCAATGCATCAGTTTTCTCTCAACAGTTTACACGGATTCAAAGCACTTATAAACTTGCTACCGGTACGTGCCCACGCATTACAGAGCTTTCATACGAGAAAAGAGTATTACACGGTTAAAAAATGATATTCAGCGATCTTGGGAGAGAAGCTATTAAACAAGTTTTATTTTACTCCGGTCTAAAAAATTACTCGTCCAACGCGTTCGTTTCAACCATCGAACGAGTCACACCTCTCGAGACATTCGTCACAAGACTATTCGGAAAAACTGGTTCACGGTGTTCGAAGTGGACCGGTCAACCCTCCGTTGAATTATGAGTAAATTATAGTCCGCGTTACAGTTTCGCCGAACTGTATGCACGATTTTCCACCGAGGTTCAGACAGCAAGAACGCGGATAACGCGAATTTTTCGAACGCATCGATAATCTAGATCACAGATAAGCGAATCAGTGACACGGCTGCCAAGTTTAGCACGGAGAAATTTCACTGCCGGCGCCGTTCATTACAGGTTTCTTCGTCTGCGCGCGGCCAATCCTGGCTCGTTCCGTTCGCAAAAACGATACTTAACAACGGGACAATATGTTTTCGCACGGTCTGGCAACGAGCGAGGAAAAAGTTTGGCAAACGGCTAAGAAAAATGCACTTGCAATCTCGATTTCATAGAATCGGATTTTACCAACCAGTGTTTCTCAGCTCGAGAAACTTTCAGTGAACAACTGTTAACCCTTTCTATTAATATTCGCTCGATACTAAACTGAAGATTAGCCGCAGCTCTTTTAAACGCGGGATAAATTGTTGAAACATTTGTACCTGTTATCGTATGAAATAAAATGGAAAAGAAATTTCTTGTCTCGAATGTAACCGACTTCAAGAACGAGTTTCTCTGGTAAGAGAAGCATCGAGGACGATGCAAGCGATTCAGGATCATTTCCAGAGGGCAAGAACGTAGCCCTGTCGAAGCAGGATTATCAGGCAAGAATGCGGACTAACCGGGACGCGAGTGATAAATAATGGTGGCTACCTGTGAACCGCGTTATCTAGGAATGTTTAGCAGCCTGACAACGCTCGACACGTTGCTTTACACGTTAATGGTGACGAGTTTTCGAGTATGCCGTTCGAAGCGACGATAGCTCGTCGATGATATCGCGTTTAAGAAATAAGAGTATACGGATTCGTTTGCATATTCAATTCAAGACTTTTCTTTGATACACGCTGTATCAATGCTGCGTGCAAACGTTTCAAGCGCACACGCTTCGTTTTCGCTTGAGATTTAACGCAGAAACGATTGATTAGCATGCACTAATTAGATACTTTTTTCCATCGATTCGTTGCATTATACGATGGGTTACTGATTAGCTACGAAACTTGATTGCTTACCAATTAAGGACAACTTATTAACTCTCTTGTGGGTCTTAGAAATACCCATTTCTACATTTTCTTTAATAATTTTATATATATGTTAATAGTAATTATAATATATAGGTGAGCCCTTAATTGGTAAGAGAAACATGCAAAAAATAAAATTTCCAAGACTCACCCTTGGTCCATCCTATCCACGGGTCCACCAGGTCCCATCATCGCTGGGTGCCCCGGTCCAATAGGTCCTGTCATCGGATGTCCAGGTCCAAACGGGCTTCCTGGTGGTATACCGTACTGAGGTCCACCGAACGGCTGTCCGTGAGAAGGAAAGTGCGGATTTCCTGCTCCAGGTGGTACGAAAGGTGGTCCCGAGGAGCCAGGTCGACCAACGAATTGAGGTGGTCCACCGGAGGGCGAGCCAAACGGGCTTGGTCCGGGTCCATTGTAAGGAGGCCCGGAATTGTTTGGCGGTGGAGGGAAGCCCGATGAATTCGGCGGTGGTCCTGGACCAGGGGTCGAGGAACCGCTTGGTGCAGGCGAGGCAGTGTACTGAGGTGTCGCTGAACCAGGAGGTGGTCCTTGGTAAGGTGGTGCACCCGCTGGACTACCGGCACCACCGGGGAAAGGACTCGGTCCTTGAAATGCTGCATTGCTTGGTGGACCACCTGAACTATTGTACGGACCGGAGCCAGGGCCACCACCCTGGCCAACCGAGTTCGGTGTAAAGGGTGATGCCTCCGAGCCCGGTGGCGGGCCCTTCCACGAGGCTGGTGTTCCCGGATCCTCCAGTGTGGTAGTGGCTGCCAATGGCGTGTTTAGGCGGCTACAGCCTGAAATCATACGAATTTTCGGTTAGATACGGATTAATACTTATGATCAAGTACCTAAAAGAGCTAGTAAAATAATTTATTATACTTTGGTACTGTTCACACATTACTGACATACCTATTATATGTGAGAGTAAAAAAATTAGTACAAGAATGTTGTAAAAATATTCATTCATAGACTATATTTAATAATAAACTTGATTTTTCTTAAGCTACATATTGTTATAAGCCCAAAATTACTATTACTCAGTATTAAGCAGTACGGTAATACTAAGATATTTCTGAGATATTACGTAACTGTTTTCTTATATATACTACAAGGTTTATATATAAAACATTATTCAGTTCCTTTATCTAAGCTTAGCATAACAATGCTTAATTCAGCTTTGTTGCGCTATGAATTACAAATAGAATCTGTCAATTCAATGTAAACAATAACCACAGTAATCATTATGCTCGCAACAAGAACTCATTCTAGTCGAACACAATATAATACATTGTACAAGATTGGTAAAGAAATTGTAGATATACTAAGGAGCAAACAGAAATTACCATTGTTTGTTCCATTGGCCTTCATTGTCCTGTGATCATCCAGCTCATTCCATTGCACCGATCACCCACTGTGGTAGGAATCAGCACGCAGCAGAAACAGTTAATCTTTGTCAGTACACTGCACGCAACCGATCGAGCTCATGAAAATGTTGCGTATCAATTCCTCCGTAAACAGCGATTAATAGATTGCTTGAGAGTCACTTTAAGGTTATGTGCCGGTAACCTAACCTCTAACGTTGTTGGAACGCGATTCGCGAGTCCTACCGCCGCGAGAACACTTAAAACGCACGATGCACGATTCACGAAACTCTCGAAGAACACGGATTCGCAGTTTTTCGATAAAAGGTCTCGTGGAAGACCATGAAACCGATTGATAACAATAAGCACCTGTACGGTCGCGTTGCCGGCATTTTCACGGTGATATTTGACCTGTTTCAAGACGTTCCGCCAGTTTTCCAGTCGAGATCCAGGCGCGCACCCACTGTTAGGCGCGTGCACAGGTCCGACATCACACTAATCTTGATTCATTTTGCCGTCACATTGCAAAAAATTCGCGATCGTCCAAACACAAATGACCCGGTGCAAGAGAGAGAGAAGAGGCAAGCGCGAATAAACACCACCAGAGTCAACAGACGACCCTTGCCAGGGACGTAACGCGCAGGTGGCGCCACGTGACTCGCTTTCGTATATTTACCGAATACTCTTCGTATGATCACTAAATTCACCTCGAACAAACAACGATAATCGTGCGAATCACGGGCTTGATTAATTTTTCATTAGCACAGAAACGTTTCTTCGCTTTTTTCAACTTCATCCCTTAACTTGATCGTAAACATTTGACGGTCGAAAGGTGTCGACACCGAAGCTCCGAAACGTCAAGTTTCTGTTGTCACGACAAGTTTTCGCGTGGTAAAATATCGAAAGCCCGTGAGGAGAGCGTGAAAATACGAAAAAAAGTCACTAGCCTCCGACACTTTCACTCGCGATTTGTCACTCACACGTGCACCGTACGCAACGACTCGTGGAAGTACGCGTACGCACGTGCGCCAGGGGCGTAGCTAGCCGAGTACACGCACAACGGCTAGTAAACCGGACGAATAGCTCCCTCACGGACCACGTGTTCGCCCTTACTCTCCGTTCTACCTAGCTTACCCGCGCCCGGGTGTCAACTGGATTTCTTCCTCGGTCGTAGCCAGTAATTGTTATTCCACGGGTGAAAACCGAACGACGCTGCCATTTTTAGAAAACTAGCTGCATAAGCCGATGCGGCACCGACTGCCTGACACCCCGCCCAAACACACTGAAAGCACACCCCATCAAGGCACACACGTAGCAGCTTGATACTCGTTTTTTTTTCAGGGTCGTTTGATCCGTTCACTGTATCTCTTAATTTCTCACGAACTAACCTCAACCGTTCGATACGCGTGTTACACGAGTATGCACCTGGTTTTGTTTTCACGTTTTTTTTTTTTTTTTTTAAGTCAAAACACCGGTTCAAGTAATCCGTTCGTATTGATTCCAAGCCGAGCTCTACCTTTGGCGTAATTACACAACTGATATTCCTTGCGCGTGCACCCGCAAACTTATCAACAGATTTTTTCCCTAGAAACGAGCACGACTTTTTAGGCTATGTACGCTGATGCGTCTACGCGTTTCTTCACGCTCTCCCTGATTTGTGCGTCTACCGGCGGTGGACCGCGCGCGATTAATTCGAATCGCCGAGAGAGAGGAGTTATCGCTCTCGGACTGGCCGTAATTTCCGATCGATTAATCAAGAGGAAACTTTGGCAACGCGGTGTCGCCTGTTGCATGCGAGCAAAGCTGTGTGTACACGATGTGCAGCAACGTAATAGCGTTGATTTGTAAACAACGCGAGACGCCGTCTCGTACGCAAAGAGAGGTGCATCGCTGGTCGAACCAGGTGAGAAAGCAATCAACACCGAAAAGACACGACTGCGGTCCGATACGCGTCAACGCCACCCGTTTGTTATTTTCCACGACCAGCTTCCTTTGATTTACGATAGAGACCTCTCACCCCCTGCTAGAGAACGCGACGACTAACGGCGAGAAAAGACCGGTGCGTTCCTCGGAATCCCTGCAGTCGCACGGTCGAAAGTTGCGACTTTCTATGCAAGACGGGCAAGAAAGCGTGGCGCACAAAGAACACGCGTCACCAGGCGAGGATACGTCGAAGGAGCGATCAGGTAGGAAAGGCAATTACTGAAAACACACGCGTCACTCGCTGCCCATTCATGGACGACTCACAACACGCCGAGTTGCGTTTCAACGAAGCGACTAAAAACTACGGTTCGCGGATTGAAAGTAGCCGAGATGATGGTCTCGCGAGAGGTATGCTCCGATTCACGGCTAAGACGTTGCTGAAACATGCAAGAACGACGCGAACAAGGCAGCTGTTCCACGTGGAGCGTCGCCCACGGATGCGTACGGCCCTGCGCCGAGAGCTGAACCCCCGACCGCAACGGGACTGCGCCTCGCCACAGTTACTCTTTTCTGTCACCGCCGCCGCCGCCGCCACCGCCGCCACCACCGCACTCGCCACTTTTGCACGAGGAGAAAAAAAAAAAAAAAAAAAAAAAATGCTTCGTGGTTCGCGTTGGACCAAGGATCAAACGGTCCTGATCTCCTTCGCGTGACGGGGGAATCTCGAATGAGACGTAAGTCCGCGATTGATCAAAGGACAAGGCGGAGGTGCGAAGAAGAATGCTTTTCAGGGGTGCAATGGCGCATTGGCCGCCACATTTTTTTTCTCGCTCCTCGCTGTTTCAAAGTCCCTCCCGTCGCGGGAGACTCAACACTCGCCAGTTGACAGTGTCACCCTAAAAATCAATAAGGGGTTCACCCTCGACCCTGCCCACCCTCTTCCTCCTCCTGCACCTTTCTCCACCTCCACCTCCTCCTCTTACGTCTCTTACTCTCTACGTTTATCCCAGGAACGTATAGCAGGGGGTCGATGGGTCGGCGAGGTTATGCTGGTCAGACGACCAGTCATTCTATTAGGCTGCGATGCGGCGTCAGGAGGCTTGCTAACCTTCAGACGCCACGTTCCACGAGAATCGTCCCTAAGATGGTCAGATATACCGAGTCGATTTTAGAAAATCTGTCTTTCCCACATTTTTATAAATTGACCCAATCTGTTAAATGGATTTCAACGACGCGTCTTTCTTTTAACTTTCTAGGATACCTAGGGTCGTTCACCCGATTGTTTTGCTTCTACTTTACCCATTAGAGTTTTCAACTTTGAATGTTCCTAGCTTTAATAAAAAAAGGACGAATTTGAAAGAAAAGAATATTGAGCGAAGCCAGAAACGACCGAGTAGAAGCGAAAAAGCATTTACGTTTCCAAGCAACGCGAATTCATTTTTCCATTCGTTTCGTTGATACGAGCGCGTTCAAACAGCTATCGCGTTATGCTTCCTTGTTTCTTGGCGAGTCGTTCGAATAGAAAGGCGGCATCAACGGGAAACTATGCCGACCTACCTCACCATCATGCGGCAACTACCAGAAAACGGAGGAGGATCGGTCCAGGGGGCCGGAAGTTACGCGTACCGGGGCACTTTCTAAAATTTTACGAGGCTAGATTGTTGTTCTAGCGGTTGACTGCTATTATCGTCACCTGACACGAATTCGACAAGTAAATTGTGGCCTCGAATCACGAAACCAACTCGATCGGTGGCGAAAGCATGCCTGCGAAGATTCTTCGGTAGCTCGGTGCTACCTTTCTCCGATTTTCTTCTCGATCTTACTAATGAACTAAAAATAAAAATAAAAATATACCTGAAAGAAAAACGTTGCTCAGTTCCATCCTCCTTTTCTCCCATCGTACTCCCTCGTTGTCCTTCCGTCGTTCTTCGGATCCGAATTTCTTTAAATAAGAATAAGGAAAAAAGATATCACTTGACTTCGCAAAAGAGACCTTTAACCCGACGCGGAATCACAAAGTGAATTTTCGGCTGATAAACGAGCGAAGGTCGTGGCTACCAGTCGAGGAGAAAGCCTCGAGCGTAAAGGCACGCTTCGCTCGCTGTCACGCGAGCAAGCCTGGCACACTGTAACGTCAGTACGCACGGCATCTCGATGTCTATCTGTTCGGTGAAGGCACGATTCGATAACCCGCGATTCGGGGTCAGTATGGCCGTCTTTTATATCCCGGAGACGGTGAAAAGTCGCCTTCAGTGACAGCTGATGTGTCGTAGTCGTTCAAAGCGAGGGACGCGTCAGTCCGAGCCAGAGGAAAAAGAGAAGAAAAAAAAGAAGAACTTGTGTCCGCGCTTCGACTAACGAGGCCAGCTTTTCACGCGAAAGCTCAATGAGCGATACGCGTGTAATTAGAGCCGCGAATGGCCATTAGAGAGTCTGGCAAATTACGTATCGACGGAGGTGTCCTTTTTTCCTCTCTGCTTGTTTCCACGTCAAATGCAACGCCTTTGATGGTAGACAGTGGGGATGCGTACGTCGTTACGAAACACCGTGAAAGCGATGTCTGAAGTTTCTGGATTCGTTACTTCCTATGTATACGCACGATATACTAAACGTACGACAAAAGGTTTGAAAGTTTTCTAGGCATATCGTGAATGTTTCGAGGATTCTGCCGCCATTGTTGCGTCTGTAGTTTCTGTACTCGCCGCCAGAGGAATCATAGGGGACCAACTTTCTCGCTAGTGCTCGCTGCGCTGTCCATCCAAAGTCCATTTATCCAGTCTTTTAGCAGACCTGAAAAAAACACAAACTGTTAGTAAAAATAAGCAAAAATACCGAGTATATCCCGGTTAATGTGCGACACCGATTTTTTTCGCACGATGCTAACTTCTTTCCCCGCAAAACCATACGGAAATATCTACCACGAACGCGTGGCGAGTCGCGAGGTGAATGACAGCTGCGGACAGTTCGTACACAAGCATGTTCCACTGACCCTGGCTAAAACGATCCGAACGAACGAACTGAAACACCACCACGACCCTTGGCTGCACGTGTTCCCTCTCTCTTTCTCTTCTTCTCTTTCCCTGTTTCTCTGTTTCCCCTCGGAAGTGGACTTTCTGCACTTTTGCTCGACGCTATTCCCAACCCAGAACTGTCCGAAGGAAGCCGCACCGCTGTTCACCAAGATATTAGGATAAGTTTCATTCATACAAACTTTGGAACAAATCTCGACCTTCGGAAACCGCAAACGAGTAATGTCTACGAGCGGCGATCGAATTCGAGCAAATAAAAAATAACGTTTCTAGAAACTTCGATACACTTGTGTATTTGTGATATCTTTTTAAATAAATAAGAATAATAATCGCCCATGACACCCAAGTTCCCTATCATGAATTCCCCCTTTCGTCACGAATCACGTAAAACTGGTAGTTGATCACAAGAGATGTATGCATAAGACTACCAACCGAGGTGTTGGACTAGTATCATATCAAAGCGATGAATAAATTATTTACCGAGTTCTAGCGACCACCCCATAATGTCCTATCAAAGGGGTGATGCACGAACTTCGCTTCCCTGTACAAAACTCTGAATTCCTTTTTATTTTCAATTTTCATCTATGTGACATTTGTTGATCGTCCAAAATGTTTGGCAAACAATAATTTAACGAGAAGATAGAGGCTGTAACTAGGACAACATGAAATGCAAAGTGTGGCAACATCTCGTGAACAGTTCGCAGCTGTTCCTAAGTGGAGTCGGAAGCTTGGGAGTTCACGGCACTCAGAAACAAGTTGGATCTGCGGAAAGGCACGAAGGGAAGGCCAGAAGAGCAAGTTCGTGGTTGGCTGGAGCGGGGTGGCACGAGAAGGTGGATGGGAACGAGGTGCGGGGAAGAAGAGGTCGCGTATGAAAGAGGAAGGAGAATAGGTCGATACGGTAAACTATTGTCTGCTGGCTGAAGTGTTCACGAGAACTGGGCGGAAGACAGCCTCGGGTTGGTTACGTGTATTCCTCCAGTTCCCATGAAACGCAAAGATATGACATGCTCGTCGCTGCAACGATATTCAAACGCGTCTAAGAACCCCGACGCAGCGTCCCGATATTTGGGGATAAAAGAGAGACGCATATGACGTCACGTTTTAGTTCTTACGATCGACGGTGGACGTCGGTGACGTCATGGATTAGTTCTTACGGCTTGCGGCGGATGGCGTTCGTGTGGATTATGCACACCAGCACCAGTGACTATAGATCCAAAAGACTGGACATGCCTTTATTTTCAAGGAGTTATGATTTTAGAGGGTCCCAAAGTCGTATCATTTATCCTCGCTTAATGTGCGCCAGGCATAGGGACAAAACGAGATATTTCATGACGTCACTGGTCCCGATTTGCGTCCCCAAATATCGCAACACCGTCATAGGAAGCTATATATGCTAATGCGACTTATATACACTACTTCTACCCATCATCATGTGACGCTAAGAAATAAGAACGCTTATTTTTCCCTCTTCCCAAATCAAATCACTCGTAAAAAGTAGTTCGAAAAGTAGACCCCTATGCCATCTGGTAGAAAACAGCGGAAACTACTGGATAACCTACCGACTAATTTTCCGAAACGAGCGAACTAGTGGCACTATCTATTGGAAAGCATTGGAAACTATACTTAAGTTCACTTGAATGGAACTTATCGAGGATAGAGAAGAAAAGTACTTACATACGTAAAACAAAAAATAGAGTGGAAATGATTTTACCGTCTGTTCATTCCCTGTCATTATCGAACTGGTTGAACAGGTTAACACTTTATAGCCAGCGTAAAGAAATTTTAAATTTCGCGGCATTGGATCGTACATTCCGCGTCATCATTTGATTTTCTTTTCTTTTCTCATCGCTTTACCGAGTACCACGTGAGACGCGTAAACCGTAGAAATTGATATCGCTTTTTGCTTGTTAAGGCGATGCAACCGTTGAATACTTTACCAATCGAACCTAAAAACAACCAGTGTACAATGTTGCGATATTCGGCGACAAGACGGAACATTTCATTAGACGTCATAAGTAAGTAAGCACGTCCCTTTTTTATGACCCCGAATAACGCGACGTTGGGCCCGGGTAGCAGTTCCATCCCTACCACCGGACCCTTGATCGCGATCGTCGGACACGGTGACATCCTATCCCGGCAGTTGAATTTCGAAACCCGTCTACGTTGGGTCGGTAGTCTTCGCTTGACATCCTTGCAATATTTTACTTTTCCGCGTCTTTTCCTCCGAGTCTTTTCTTTAAAGACCGGTACGTGACTTTGGTGATATTTTAGAAGAAACGCGATACACATCCATCACGATGATGCATGTCTCGCTCATGCAACAACTTCCGATGCAAGTTCCACTGGTGCATCAACTTCCAATAATTCCGATGCCACAGGTGTCGCACTTCTTTTATCCGTACAACCCTAGCTTGGAAGACGAAATGAAGAGATTGTTTCATTTCAAGGTCGATGTACCAACCTCTACGCCAGTCCAAAATGGTAAGTCATTTTTCATAATTAATATCGTATCAGTTGAAAGCGGAATTTGCTGGAGAAAAAACAGCTGAGGATCGATGACAAAGATCGACCCAGTTAAAATGTTTCATTATTTTCGGTTCAACTTCTAAGACTGTAATCTTCCGAGTGCAATATAGTGAAGCATAAAGCAATCACCTATTACGTTCTAAATTATTCTACGAATTATTTTGTTGTTATTACGAACAGAATTGATGGGTAACAAATAAACGATAGATTTTTAAGAAATTAACTAAAGTGTCTTTTCCCTGCTGCTTTTAAATTTGCAAAATCTATTATTTTATTTTTTAAAAATTAACATTGCTATACGCGTTTTAATTTTGAACCATACAATCTGATGATATGTCATTATGCGTCATCAAATCGTGGTTTGATTGGCAAGTACCTTCTACAGTTTGTAAACAAACGAATCGATAAGAGGAATTCAGTATTCTAAAACGTGCCAGGGTTATAACTCGCCGTTAAAGATTCCTACAATTGTTTTTGCAGTCGAATTCGTCGAAATGAAATAGAAGAATTCGTACGATACTTGTTACTAAATTTCAATATTTTTCAAACGTAAATAATAATATTATTTTGATAAGTGTTTGTCAGTGGTATTATTATTTCCAAACATACGTAACGAAAAAAGGGATTAACATTGTCGAATGACACCGAAGCTCTTCACATTTTACGAGTGGATTTTAAACGATGAAACAATGTTGACGTACTTTTATTATTTATTTTCTATCAAGATATCTAACGTCGTTTCTGCGTAGTTCGAAAAATTAGGACGAATTCTGTTTACATACCGTGAAACCTAATACTTTCGAGTCCGTTATTTTCTCTATTTGCGCGTCGCGAAGCAGTCTTTGAAAAAGCCGAAATGAAAATAAACGATGTACGATTATTCGATGTCGTATATCTGTTTCTTCATCCTTCTTCGAATACCTTCGATGATATTCCGTTTCAAAGTACGCCAGTTATTGCTTGAAATATTACGTTTACAATTTTATTTAATAACTTCGTTAATGATGCATTTCGGTTAATTAAAATCCTTGGAATTTTATTCGATGATTCTAGTGGAGGCTGTGATGGAAGAATTTCGTCACAATGGACGAGATTTTGAATATTGTCCGGATGGGGACAATGCAGTATCAGAGATAACACCGCGTCGCAAGAAAAATAAGAAACCCGTGGCTACAGAATGCGTTTTCTGTAAAAACAATGGCGAAATGGAGTCTTACTACCGACAGCACACGTTGAAATACGAGGACGGTCGCGTATCGTGTCCAGTTTTAAGGTAAATTAAAATTCCAATTAAATCCTGTACGATTGAAACGAAAATCTCAAAATGATCTATATTAATTTTTAAGAATTTTTGTATGGAATACTTCTAAGGAACACGATATCTATTATACTCGTGTTCAGATTGTGCTAAGAGGGGCTGCCAGAGGAGTCATGTTATTTACACCGCTTTTTCTATGTGTTTTTAGGGCCTACAAGTGTCCAATTTGTGGTACGTGTGGCGATGATGCCCACACCATCAAGTACTGTCCCAAGAGGCCGAAGGGCCTAATCGACACGTACCAAACGGTGAACACCTTCAAGTTTCTTAAAAACTCGATTGGCAAACGACGTTCAAAGTAAGAACACGCGTGGGCCTCTCGTGTGTGACGAGAAGCACCCAGGTGCCATTAGAAACTCTGCTTTTTCTCAAAGTCCTCGAAATGCAGATCCTTAGAGAATATTCGACTTCGAGCCTCCTTGCGTCATCGGCTGGCAGGTAAACCTGTTCGATGTGAACGAACCAAAGATAATAATCGTGCCAGGAATAAACGTATTCCTAACAGTTCGTGCAATTAAGTAAAATTAGTTTTCAAAACTAGACACAGGATAGATCGATCGATCCCTTACTATTCGTAGTAAGCGTTCAGATTCAACATCTTGAAAGACGAATTGTTGAGAGAATCTCAAATAGAGGCTGTATCCAAAGATCTTTGCTTAGATTCGTAAGTTAATTATTTATATCGAGTGTGCCATATAATAGTCTCGTTTGTTCCTGAACAAACTCATCATCGTTACGAAGAGAAATCGTTTCGTAGACCGCCAGTGCCTTGAGAAAAGAAAAATGTTTAACCCAGCATTTGATAATTCAAAGATCTGATTTTTTAAACAAAATTCGTTTATGTACATTTACATCCATTGACCTTAGTATAACTTACTTGAATGTTACCCAATAATTCGTGAAAATCTTTACATTTCTTAAAGTATTTTCTTTTTGGAAAGATTTTTTTTCTTTTAATGTCTACGAGTACTGTGATAATGCGAATAAAGACTATCCATTTTTTATACAACAGCCATAGATTTGTCGTTCGTGCAACTAAACTTTTTCGAGGAGAAGAGCGACGAACGTCCGGTCCCTCGATTTGAGACAGTAAAATCACGTTTTTTGATTTTAAGTTTTACACAAAGAACGTTTTTGAAAATTCGTTCGAACTATGTTCCGTGTTCTTGTCGTTCATTGATCCGTAAGAGGGGTTAATTTTTTTTTTTTTTTCCTTTCATCGAACTGTTCCAGTGAGTTACACTTGATTAAGTTAAAAATTGTATTCTTACGGTAGACGATAATGCCATTGAACTTTGAAAATGACGTTTATAGAAAACGCGGTTCCCTGCTTTATTTGTGGTTTGCTAAAATTTCTTTTGTTACCTTGCAAGATTTACGGACGGAAAAGGTTCTTTCAATTGTGTCTTAAACGGACGACGAATGACCAACGAGATGAAATTCCTTTTAAAATTGCTACTCTTAACCCTTTGTAGGGTTCAAAGTGGGTCTTCTATATCCAAGCCTAATTTTTCACTGTTTTAAACTTTCAAAAATCTAGAAAAATTCTATTTCTTAAGAAAAAATAAAATTTCGCTTGTGCCTTCGACGACCCCAATTTTCTATTATAGAGGGTTCACTTTATACAAGTTTGCAGCTTTTTCCTTCAATTTTTTTTTTTTTTTTTTTTTAATTATTTCGACTCGGTGCTGCTTGTATTCGAGCAATAATTATGAAACAAATTTAACATCAATTCGAAGGCAACATTTTATGGAATTGTGAACGGGTGAAACCTCTCTTGTTCCTGCGTATTCGACCATGAGTTTTATCGAAGGTTATCGCAACAATGATACAACATATACATACTACATCCCTGTGCCCTTTTTTTTTTTTGTTCGTTACTTCGATGACTGATGGCCGAATCGTTGCTCTTTCCAGGCAGAGGGTTTCTTTGTTCACAGTTGAAATGTAATTAACTGTGATTGCTGAAATTGAACGAAGAACAGAGCACCGTACATCGATTGGCAAATAAAAGCATGCAAACGTGTATTTTTTTTGTTGGTCATTTTTCAATTAGTAGTTAGTTCAGCATCATTAGTACGTCGTTCGAGAGAAGTGGGTAAAAAATCTTCATTAAGAAATCATACATAGTAGACGAACATATTTTCTCAGATTAACTGTAGGGATAGTACAGTAGGTTTAAGATGGAACAGTATTTTCAGATAATTTTGTATTGAAAAGAATTTGATATTGAAGTGAACCGTAGGTAAAGTTCAGTTCGATTTTCGGTATTCGTGTAACGTGTTCTAAAGCGTTTACACGTTTATTAAAAATAATCAACCCAATCTATAGCAGAAACAGTACTGGTACACGGTGTGTGTTGCTCAATTAATGAATTTGTGTTTTTATTCATAACCGAATTTCATATTATAAAGGGTTAAATTATGAGATATAACAAACCCACGAATGTGCGTGTATTAATTGTTTGTTCGTACGGCTACGTTCCTATATACGTATAATAATTAGTAGTTTCATATTAGAATATATATGTGTGTTGAATAAGAGTACCACTTTTTGTTTCTTACGCAAATGTTTCCTTTTCTTTTGTACAGTTCGTTTTTGAAAATTTCAATATTCGTTTATTAGGGATTATAGACTGCTGTTATTATAATAATTTTTTATAAAAATCTTTGTATCTAGAATATTTATATACTTGTATCTAGTAATCGTAAATAGTATTATTGTTCCAAAGAAACAATTGAGAATCTATATATATACATAGGAGAAGAAGAAAGAAACATGTATTATGTAAGCATGAACTGACTGAAAATTATATTTTGCAACAACGTGTAAATTATAAGAGGGTGTGTAATTTTTCACTGGCGAGTGGAAAATTGTCACAGAAGTAACGAGGCTACAATTTTTCTTCAGTAAAAATTCACGTTCGTCTCCACTTTTTTAAATGGTCCGCTCTATGCATTAAATGATGGAAACTTGTGCCAAAAATATTTTTAAAAAATCAGTCTCGTTATTTTTCTGACAAAGATTGTTGTGTTGTACGGTTGTTTGCAGTGAACTGCTGGCCTCGTATTAGGCACGCACACACGATGTAGATGATTCACAATTAAAAGCGAGATGACGTTACCGTAATCTGATGCCAGCACGGTTTACGATTAACACTGGCAATTGATAACGTAATAATAGCAGTTACAGAGAGCAGTTAAGGTTATTAATTTAATGTATTTCATGCTCATTCCATACTTGTTTCACCCCCGATATTATTACTGGCACAACTTTCGGGTTTGCTCCGTAGCAAGAATTGTACAAATGTTTCAATTTCTAACAAGAGATAAATAAGATGCTTCATCATATTATACTCTACTCCATACATCAGTGGCGAATTATTGAATGACAATAATTGAACGGCAAATATTTTCAGTCTTATTGTTAGTTGAAAATTAATTTTTCAATTTCATGATATTTTTTTTTTTTTTTTATTTACTTTAATCAGAGATACTAAATTATATTTTGATTTTGATCTTATTATCGCCGTTTACGTATTGTTAGTTTATATGCATCTTGAGTAGTATTGGCATAACATATAAATATATATTTATATAAATGTATACATATTTTTTTGTATCTGATTAATATTATTTCTTATCATTCATGTTATTATTATTGTATTATTGATAATATTATTGATGTGTTGCTATTTAAGTGTATATAATGTAATAATGTGTATTTTGTACGATTATAAATGTTTAAAAAAAAATTGCAACTTAAACCAAATTTTTTCATTTCTCCTATACACACCGTTTTTTTTTTTTTTTTTAATACTAAGCTAACCAATCCCTTGTAACGTAATGGTAAAACGAGGTCATTTGTTTAAAGTCGAGCAAAAGCAATTTAGAATGTAATATCGTTCGGAATCAGCTGAATCGATCAAGAGGAAAATGTCAGAAAGATACCGCACTTTGTAAATGACCATAAAACGTCACGTGACTACATATTTCATAGAAAATGTTCGCATTTTATACGCGTCGTCGACCACAAACCATTACTGTTTGATAAACGGAATTGTACACTAGTGCTTTTAAACATTATTCGTATGTTTTACTTTTTATTCCAAAAATTGATATCGGAAGTGATTTCATAAATAAATTAATTGCCAACGTTTTAATGCCATTTATCAAGTAAGTAGGTCACTCGTTATTCGTATAATTCTTTTGTACTATTCAATGGATACTCGTCAAGAATTTCATCTACCAAAGAGTCATACAAGGCAAGAACATTATCTTCTTACATCTTTGAGTCTGCAGGCAAACTGATGCGTTATCATTTGGAAAATTGACAATTGGTCCACGAGCGACAAAAGTAACGATTAAGCCTCGTATCTGAATCTGGATATTCCCCGTATGTTAGGAAATACCGTCGCATCCTGTATACATAAAACGTCGACTGGTGTAAAAAATCGTTCAATAGGGAACGAGCTACCGCTTAGAAAACAAGTCATGTTGCGGTTCTTTGGACTATTCATCATTCTAATAGTTTCTAATACGGTGTTACCGAAAGATCCGGATCAAATGGCAACAAGAAGGGTCGACCGCTCGTTTCACAGAGAATCACCCTCTTTATTTCTCTTCCACTTGCTGAAACTGAAAAAGGTTCAACAGATAGAGAAGGTTCCAACAACCCCGCCACCCACGGATTGCATCTGCGTACCCTATTACCTGTGCGACGCTAATCGTACCATAATCACCAATGGTGTTATAATAATCGACGTTAGGTGAGTTTTCCTAAATTGCAAGAATTCAATCGTATCCCTGAAAGCTATCATAGATTTTCGATTCAGGTATCGAAGATGCACAGGAGACTTGGAAGTGTGCTGTCGTCTACCAAACACCACGACCACGACCACGACCACTACCACTACCACTACCACTACAACAACAACTACGCCAAAGCCAACAACAACTACGCCAAAACCCACAACAACTACTACAACTACTACAACTACTCCAAAACCCACCACAACCACCTCGACGCTTCCGCCTGTAATCTTCCCTTCATCACAATCCCCGACTACATCAGTTTGCGTTTGCGTTCTACCATCGCAATGCTACCCAGCTGGAATTATTGGTTCGTCCGGAGAAGGTGTGATCAACCCCCGTTTGCAGAACGTTCAGTGTCCTAGTATCAATCAAGTGTGCTGCAGGCCAGAGAGTGTAATTCAGAACACTAATCCCACACAGACTTGTACATTGTGTGGGAACACGATCCAGTGCAGCAACGGGGTAGTTGTACCTGTGAACGTAGGGTCCGTTAATACCGTGGTGACTTCTGGTCAGTGTCCGGTGCCAACCGCCTGCTGTCAGGGGGTGAACCCTACGTACGGGAACGGGATCCCAGTGGCGATAGGACCCGTTAGAAACCCTGGCACATATCAAGAATGTTACTGCATGGCGAGCTGGTTATGCACGCCTGGAAACGCGGTCAGCACCGACGGGGCTGGCATCATCGACCCCAGGTTCACCGTTTGTGGTACCGCGGACCAGGTTTGTTGTCGAGCCAGCACAGTGAGCGCCCCAAGGACCCTCGATCTTCAGGGTCGTGGAGAAAGCATAGTAAACGGGGAGGCATCGTTCTCTCAAGTGGGATGCGGTGTTCAAAATAAGACGTACGCACCAGGTAGAAAGTGAACCGTTTCATTGCACTTTATGGTGTTCGATAATTAGAACCAGATGTTTCTTTCGCAGCACAGCCTTACCCTGTGGACACAGGTAAGACCTATTTCGCCGAGTTCCCCTGGATGGTTGCCCTCCTAACATTACAATCGGACGGCAGGTACCTGTTCCAGTGCGGCGGATCCATGATTACCAATAAAGCTATTCTTACGGCTGCTCATTGTGTCGATAAGTAGGTCATATTAACGCTTCACTTTGTTACAACTCTTTGTGTATTATTTGTAATATGTAAAACTGACGTTAGTGAGAGGAGTGCACGATGGGTGGCACGATTCGGTCAGTGGGACTTGGAGTATCAACCCAGCGATCAACCAGTTCCCTATCAAACTGCCAACGTGAAAACTATAGTGATTCATCCTCAGTTTTACAGAAGCGCTTTGTTCAATGACATAGCAGTGGTCATCCTACATGACCCTGTTAAACAGAGTGTAAACGTTGCCCCGATTTGTGTGCCACAGCAGGGACTGATCTTTCCTACTGGCACCAGATGCATTGGAATCGGTTGGGGGAAGAATTCGTTTGGTAAAATAATGATTTTTCATCATTTTTTTAATTAAATATGAGTTCGATTGTTAATCATTGATAATGATAGGTGGAACTTATCAGACCGGGCTAAGGAAAGTGGAACTTCCTATCGTCGATCGAAACGACTGTCAAAATCGACTTCGAACAACGAGATTGGGACAGTATTTTCAATTGCACGGCTCGTTCATGTGTGCAGGTGGTGAAGAAAACAAGGACACGTGTCGCGGGGACGGTGGCGGACCTTTGGTCTGCCCTACAGCTACGGGACAATTCTTTCAGGTAATCGGATTAGTTACCTGATTTACCTTTTCCTAACTCCAAGTCAAGGTCGCCATATGTTTGCACGAAAGAATCAATCCCTCTATAAAAGAAGGCACAGTAACCCGAAAGTAAAGGGCCACTCGAACAGAAAGTGTTCCAGTAGAAGCGTAAAAGGCTAACAATAAGACCATGCAGTAAACTAGTAAAGCAGATGATGTCTTTTCCGAATGCTCATAATCAATAGCAACCTTTTTCGAAAAATATTGTAAGCATGCACGATGTGCAATATAATAAGCTAAAAATGTGTTCACAATCTGTTTCAGGCTGGAATAGTGTCCTGGGGAATTGGTTGTGGCACATCGAATGTTCCTGCTGTTTATACAAACGTGGCACAGTATACACAATGGATCGAACAACAATTAGCAACCTATGGAGCGTAACGAATAGAATAAATATATTTAACAAATTTCATCTAGTCGTTTTTGTTAATCTACGATACTGTATTTACTTTTGTAAAAATGAGTAAAATGAAATTGTTTTTCATTATAATCAATTATTATGAAGTATACTTCATTTTCATATCTGTTCTATGGAAAAGTAACGTTCCAGTTTCAAGTCTTCCAATAGCCGTGATCGTCTAGTGGTTAGGACCCTACGTTGTGGCCGTAGTAACCCAGGTTCGAATCCTGGTCACGGCAATGTTGTACAGTTACATTGTCACGGTGGAAGTTTTCTTTTTTTTATTATTCATTAACATACGATTTTATTACACTAAAATTTATACGTATTGATTTTTATTTTCTAAACATTATATAATTTTTAAAATATTTTTAAAAATTAATTTATCAATTATCTACGCGATTGAATCAATTATCTACTTATGTATTCGTGATGCGAAGATCGCGATGTAAATTATCGCGAAATCTACTTGTATTGTTAATAACTATTAGCGTAACATTTATTTTACTATGCAATACATGTTTCTTTCTTTTTTTTAAAGCATGTTACTTTATTGCGGCGATATTATCACTGCTATTGACCCGACATCTGGTGCAAGACACACAATGACTATCAGACTAGCGATTAAAGAATTCTAAATAAAGAAAATGTGTATTTTCCGTCGGTATCAGCAGAATAAATTGTTGCTTTATAATTTAATGATTCATTTTTGTTTATTATCCTACTTTCTTTTATATGGAAGTAGATTCTTACTAGTTTTGTGACCCGTACGTTCTTAGAATTCAGGACTATGTTTGACCTTACCATGAAACACATTCCAAGGAGGTATAGGAGGTATAGAATTTCCATGTTATCAAGTTTGAAATGAACCATAGACGTAATTGAAAACATATCAGGTGTTTTATGACGTTAGGGAGAGAACGTCATAGGAAAAGGACGTCAGTGAAAAGGGAATTCTAGCTGTTCCGAAAAACCTTCTCAGAAATCTGTACCATGGTTGACTGAGATTTATGCGGGGAATTCCACCTGATTTGAATCGGTGAGGTCAGTACGCTGTTGGGCAAGTAAAAAGGCAAGTTATATACGTTCACCACTGAAACGTAGACACAAGAAATCCGAATTGGTAGGGGGAATTCTTGTAAATGCTGTCGCTGTGTATATGTATGTAAACGAAGATATCGCGGCTTCAGCGTCCAGCAAGTCGCAATCGAGCACTGTTCTCTGAAGAGAGAAGTCTTAGCCTCACGCTTGGAATCAATTTGCGGTGAGTCTTTCATCTTTTCCGACATCATTCGACAATTGCAACGAAACTGTTTCATTTCTTCTGTCACCGTCGTGAAATTTGATCTCTTGATCGTTATATTTATGTTAGCAACACCAAAGAATAATATTTTTTTTTTTTTAATTCTTATTCTTTTTAATCTTCGATAAAAAACATAATTATACATAACTCGTTTTTAGATAGCTGACATTTTTTAAAGAATCTATAGTTTTTATAAAACTAGCCACATCAAAGGTGATCTTCAGTTTGAAAATTAATTATAGAGCTGACGAACGTGTTCCAGAGATTTAACAGGTTTTTTTACGTGTCCAAAATTTGGCTTTTGCGTGATAGAACTGTGTAATGTAATCAATGCATAAATTTACTTTAGGGTTTTCGGCCTTTTCAAGGGCCACTTATGGCGTTCCGAGCCTCTTCCTCTCGAAAAGAAGAAATATCGTTCCAACGAAATTGTCCAAATTTTGAATGCCTTTCGCGGGTATTATTATACTGATTATCTCGACTTATACTTGTTTATTATGATTCAATGTGTTCTCGAGTTCATCGTGTCACATAAATCTCATCAACAATCTTCCGATTCGTTTCCATATTAGCCATATGAAGCGTTATCTAATTTTCTTCAGTTTGAACTTCGTGACCGTAAACTAGCAATTTTATAGTATAACGGAATTAATCGATGTTATTCGGTGTGATCGCAGGTTTTGGAATCTATCGTCCACCGAAAGATTGTATCGATATACCGGTTTAACGATCGCGCAACCAGTTCTCGGTTGAGGTCAGTGTCAAGAATTTTCATATTGATTATAGCCCAAGATGCTTATGTAATTTGTACTAAATACCGATTCATTCGATATTTATCACTGCTTTTTTTCATTTAATTACGGGCAATTTAAATTGTATAAATGTACAGATAAAATAATTTCATTTCCCTAAATCATTTTGCAATATTTCATTCATAATTTAAAGAATAACCTTGTCAGAACGAAGTTCTTCATGGTCGAACGTTCCAATTTTCTCAGATCACGTCACGATGCTATTTATGGGATAAATGATTTTCGTTTTATTATTTGTTTTTTATTTGACACTCTCTCGGAACGATTCCGATAGATCACGGAAATCCCGTACAGGAAAATTCTTGGAATTATCTCAGATAGACCTTTGCTCAACTATCTGTAAGGTTTACATGATCCAGTGCTACAGTTTGATTATTTGTTTTCGATACGATACTGTGAAATATGTGTTTGAAGCGTACAAGCTGACGAAGTGTTTTTCTTTTTCATCATTCTCTTATGCGGACACAATGATCATTTTTTATTCTACGTTTACGTAACGTTTATTAAGCATTAGCATAATATGAAGACAAGTCTCATCATTCACGCGGTTCTATTTCAAATATTGTACAAACTGCCAGAAGGGAAACATACGTCGTTTTCAGCTTTTATATCCTTGTTGAAGCATTCGTACGTTTCTCGCACCACTGGTTTCATTCGTGGGACTCTGAGGTCATCTTTATTTATGAGCAAAAATTACTATAGTCAGCTAATAATTTCTCGCTATATGCTAGATGAAGATGCACATTAAAACGCGTAACCTTGATTGTTTTACACTGTCTTGATACGCATATACGATATATCCGGTTTAAGTTTATATAATTCAGTGGTATCAGCGTAAACGACAAACGACGTCGTTCAACCATTTCGAACGTTCGTACTTTGTCACCTCGCCCTCTTAAAATCGAACACGAAAAATCCACTTATGAAACCTAAAAATACCTATTCGATTATTTTCAGGACCTCTAACGCAGCGATGCGAAGAATACTATTGACGCTAGCTTTGGCTGGCTATTGTTTAGCCGTGCCAGCCCCTCAAAAAGAAAACTTAGACAGCTTGATACAAAGCGTGTTCGGACCAGGTCCACAAAATCAAACGAACCCCCCGTCGATTCCAAATTCACAGAATCTCAACCAACAAAACAATACCGGCGATTTGAACTCTTTGATATCGAGTGTTTTCAACGGCGGAGGATCTACAACCCCAGTAACAATCCTAGGAACGCAGAACAACCCTAAACCACAGACAGATGATTGCCAATGCGTGCCGTATTATCAATGCCGGGAAGGTACCATTTTGGAAAATGGTGTGGGACTGATAGATATCAGGTCCGGTTTTGATGACAATATCGATAATCAGCCCAAATTGGGGTGAGTTCCAAAGAATAGTCTCAACGACGGGGAGAAAGGGTGTATTGGTTTCGGCTTGGAATGATAAGGGCTAAATTGATCATACCGACGTGTCGACTCGTCCTTGATTCATTGGTTTTCTTGTATGTACAAGGGAGATCAAGGTTTATTAATGCATGCTTAATTGTTTGAATTCAATGGCTAATTGCAAGAATGCATTAAAAAATTTGCAAACAGCTAAAATTTCATAAATTTTCTTGGTTTCTTAAATGATCGAACGTGTACGCCGTTTGAGACTGTCTTTGGATAATACCCTTCTGTATGTAAAGTAATATTTATCTCCCAATAAGCAACAAATAATAACAATAAAAAGGAGAAAAAGAAATTCGTGCATGCTTAGCATGTTAACATTTCTATAGAAGCAGACATTAAAGGGTAAGTAATTTATGAGCCTTCTTAATTTGTCCTTTGGAAACAGAGCTTTTGGGCCATGTGACAACTATTTGGACGTATGCTGTAAACCACCAGACAGGACAGATCCCGGAGAAAATGTTACACCACCACCTGTGACGAGAAAGGGCTGTGGACAAAGGAACGCCCAGGGTGTTGGTTTCAGGATCACTGGTGATAACGACAACGAAGCTCAATTTGGCGAATTCCCATGGATGGTGGCGATTTTGAAAGAAGAAACTGTCGGCGAGGAAAATCAGAAGTTGAACGTTTATCAATGCGGAGGTTCATTGATTCACCCCCAAGCCGTTTTAACAGCCGCCCATTGCGTACAAGGGTAAGCAATCGATTGATTATTTTATTCTTTTCCTCTTTGCTAACAAGTAATTTTCTTATAGAAAAACGCCATCGGAATTGAGAATCCGTGCGGGAGAATGGGACACGCAAACCAAGAATGAAATTTTCCCTCATCAAGACCGCAACGTGCAAACTGTGGTAGTTCACGAGAAATTTCATTCCGGTGCTCTTTATAACGACTTTGCCATTTTGATATTGGCCGAGCCGGTAACCTTAGCGGAAAACGTGGATATCGTTTGTCTACCGGAACGAAACACGGTATTCGATAATGCTAGGTGCTTTGCCAGTGGCTGGGGAAAGGATATATTCGGTAAACATGTTAATTACTCCACCAATAGTATAGATTTCTTAAGGCTGTTGATACCTTATTACCATTAAGTTCATCTGTTCAATTGTATACTGAATGTTTCAGGTAAAGAGGGTCATTATCAGGTAATATTAAAAAAAGTAAATCTACCTGTGGTCCCGCGCAACAGTTGTCAGAATAGCCTACGAAACACCAGATTGGGAAAGTACTTTACTTTGCACGAAAGTTTCATATGCGCTGGCGGAGAGTCTGGTAAAGATACCTGCAAGGTAAAAATTTATTACAGCTTAAATCGAACAGTTCAAAGTGTCTTTAGATAATTAAAAAGTTACTTGGTGGTTTATTGTCCTGCTAATTGGGGTAATTTAATCTTTTCAGGGTGACGGAGGAAGTCCTCTTGTATGTCCAACTATAATGGATCCCAGCAGGTATTTGCAAGCAGGTATCGTGGCATGGGGTATCGGTTGTGGCGAGGACAGAACTCCAGGTGTCTATGCAAATATTGCCTATGTACGAGATTGGATCGACGAACAAATGGCTTATTATAATCTAGATAATACTATTTATAGATATACACCATAAACATAGACTGACTCCTTTTACGTATAGTTTTGTAGACTTTTATCGATCAAAATCATAGATGTTTTTTTTTCTTCACGGAAAGACTGCTCTACTGTTCGTATATGACTTTGAAAATTATAATAAATATGACAATAATTATTTTTACATTACTCGATAATAAAAAGAATCGACTAGTTTAACATAAACTTGGATGGCATAAATAATTTTTCCTTCCCTTCTCGTTATGGTGAATGTAAATAACTTATAGAAAATTATTCAAAGGATAATAAAATTAACTTCAGCATTTAATAATGGTAATAAAAATGAAAATCTCTCGTAAGCATTTAGAAACTTAAAGTTTGCACGTGGTTACCAAATGAAACGGTTTATGGTCCCGCTATACGAATGTTTTCCAGACCCGCTAAAGAAACGGTACGATGTATTGTGTTTTAAAACTTCGATGCTTGAACTGAAGAAGCAAGCGTGTCTGGTTGTTTTCATTTTTAGAAAGTCATTGTGAACAATCTTTCTCTAAAACTGTCCACACGTGCTAGACACTTCTATAAATTCGTTTCATAATAACAATCCTGATCTTTTAACCTTTTAACATCTGCGTTTCAAGAGGCTTATTTAGAAAAAATCTTGTTGATTTGCTTTGAAGGTCATCTAAATTACATTGCGCATTTCATTTACAGTCCCATGCGTGAATGTAAAAATTTACAAATAGCGCAATCTTAAATTAATTTTCATTTTTAACCCTTTGCACTCGTATTTATATTTGAGAAGGCTACCATTATTTATTTATTTTATTTTATATATACACACACATTTAAGCAGAAACTAAAAGAAAACATTGTAACAGGGGTCCCTAGAATGAAATACTAATGTAAATATATGTATAATAATAAAATGTCGGATGGCGATTATATGGCGACATACGAGCGCAACGGTAAAACGTATAATGTCGCCTGTACGGCGACATACGAGTGGAAAGGGTTAATACTGTAGTACCCTCCAAGTACTTACCTTTGAGTAGCTGCTATTAATTGTTTAGATAATGTAGGTAATCATTAGATGAGATTCAAGCTCATAGCGATTTCCGCAGAAAAAATTCGCGGAAAATGGACGCTTTACTGACACTTAATAACCCCCCGATCCGTATAAAGACTCCGCCTCTAAAGTCCCAAAAGCGGGGAGCAAAAGCATTGGGACTTCTAAGCTCTTCAGTTTGGTCCTCTCTGCCAATATCGATATATCGATGGTAGGTTGTTAGTCGCGCTAGTTATCCGTAGAACTTAAACGTTTTTGCGCCGTGACGTAGAAAACAAGTACAGTTGTGTGTGCATACGTTAATTAAATATATGTATATTTTATGATACATAGTATCGAAGGCGTAGAAATACATTCCGTGAAAATTCTTTTGTTTCTTTTTAATGGAATCAAAGGCGGTAAGTACAATCACGCGGCATATGTATATAGTTGCACTACCTACATGTGCGCGTTCTTTGTGTGTTACTAAACACGTGTTACGTTTCATTGAAAAGTCCAAAGCAAAATATATAATGCAATAATTAATGTAATCGCATCATCCGAATAATGACTATATTATAATAGCATTCTGATTTTTGCATCATCAGGATATTATATAAATTTTTATATAAAACGTATCTTAGAAAGTAATATAATTCTTAAAACAATCGCAATGGGGAGAAAAAGGAGACGGAATACTTGTCGCCGGCAAAAGAAATCTATTACACAGATTGAACAAGATATATCTGTTAATGAGAACTCATTAAAGAAGGAATATATCAAAAATAAATATAAAGAAATCCTAGGTTCCAAAGAACCTATTGTTCTTCTAAACAAACTACCAAAAGAAGTGATATTATTAGATAGACTTATAAATCAAAATTCACAAAATAATATCATTAAGCAAAATTATAAAAAGGAACCAGAACATAGCAAACAAAAATTAAACAGTGTCAAGCTTATGCCTCATAAACCAAAAGAAAGTAGATCTAAAAATCTATCCAGTTCATGGGGAATACTACATGGTAAGTATTATACTTTTTATCTTTTTTATGTTTCTTTTTTTTTTTTTGTAAATATTTTGATATTTGAATGTTTCAGATACAGATTTAAAAGAAAAAGCATTGAGAAATGATAAAAAATTAAACATTTGTTTAAATAAAATTAAACTGTGTGATATAAATTTAAATATTATAAGCCCTTCTGATAAATTAAAAACTGTTCATAAAAATGATTTGAAACAGAAAGCTCAACATACCCAGGTTGGAAGAAAGCCTAAGACTACTATAAATAATAAAGTTAAGAGTAAACAAAACCAAAAGAGTTACAGAAATCTTGATATAAATGAAAATGAGAGCTCATATTATGGAAGTTCATTTTTTAATTTTGATAATTTGTCACATAGTGCTGTAGACCTTTCAGATAGAATTTTTGCTAAAAATTATATAATGAATAAATATTTGGCAGATGTAGAAAGATCAAGCACTCTTAATAATATTGTCAAAGAAACAAATGAATGTTGTATGAACAGTGAAAAAGAAAATTTATCATTGAAAAATGTAGAAAAAGATATAACAAATTCTGTATGTGATGCTCTTGATCAAAATGTGAAAAAAGTAAAGAAATTACCAACCATTATTAGGGAAGATATATTACCAAAATACTCTGTTAAACTCAGATTATCAAAGCAGGAAGTAAGTCAGCCTTGTAATGAGGGTGCTAAATTTCATAGCAATGATATAAGTAATGGAATAAATTTTCAAGATTCTGGTTCTACAGTTGTTTCAATGAAGAGTAATATTGCACATATAACTGAATGTTTTGAGATTAATAAAAAACAAAGTTTAAATTTAAAAAGAAAAATTGTTATACCCAAAATGCAGAAAAAAAATGCAGATTTTGATAAAGATCTCAATTATCAAAAAACAAGAAATGCAATTAGTAATGAAGATTACAATTTAGTCTGTAATGGTGAAGTTGATAAAGAAAACAATAAAAATACCTTATTTTACAAAAATACTTTAACAGATTTACTTAAACAAAATTGTTTAAACTTTGATCAAGACACTAATAGTCAGCCTTCAACAAAAATAAAATTGGATAACAATAAGTGGCTTCAAAATTCTATTAATTTTGAATTGAATAATAATGGAATAATCCCTCAAATGACAACATCAAGTGGTTTAAATAATGTTGAATTAAATAGTGAAGAGGTAGTTACAGAAATTGATGAAACAAAGTCGAAAACGGATAAAGGTATTCCAGATTTTATGAAACAGAATCAAATTGAAAGTGTTGTGAGTATTCAGGATTGTAATTCACTACAGAATACAAAGGAACCTGAAGAAGTAGCATCAAATGATTGTGAATTACCTAAGAAGAAGCAGTATCCAACCTCAGTAGAAGAAGATGATGATGATGATGACCGTATTTCTTTGTTTGCAGATTCAGAAATAATAAAAGAGTAATTATTTATATTTATTATTGTGTTTCTTAATAACTGGTTTCAATACTTTAAAAACTTTATAGTATTTTCTATTAATTTTTTTAGGTATGGTTGTTCAACTCCCTCCCCCGCACACGAAAAACCATATTATATGACTGATAAGTCGTTTGATAATTATTATAAAAGTAACAAATCTGAATTCAATGAAATGTACGAAAATAATAATGTAAGTAATACTTCAAACGAAATAAAATTTCAACCAAGATCGAAATCAACAAATTCAAGGAAGAATACAGTAAACCAAAACTATTTACTCAGGACTGTATTTGCAGGAAGCTGTTATAAAATGATACAGACTGGCAGATGTTATAATAATATGTGTCAGTTTAGTCACGGTGTATGTATCCGGTCATTTTTTTTTATTCCTTATTTTTCGAAGCAATATTGTTTAAATATTTTTTCTATTATGTATAATAACGCATGTTTTTGTTTATGTTATGCAGTTTCTGTATACTATGGAATTATTATATCGTCACGAGGAGCAAATGTTCTTTCTCGTGTTAGAGGAATTAGTATCAAACGGTTGTATACGTTTTATTCAAATAATATTTAAGGAGCTAGCACATAATTGTGCTTCTGACATTTTTTACGTGATAAAAATAGTAAAAAGGTTATTTGAATTAAACAGTATAACTAATGAAATAACAACTGATATCACTCAGCGCTTAAGAATAACGAGAAGATCTTTAAACATAATTAGCGATCAATTAGCCACTCTTGTAAACGAGTATGATTTCAAATTTATAAATTGGATCCTGAGTATTTCACAAAGTTTTATCGAATCTGGTACATACTGGGATACTTTTAAAAGTTTACTGCTGAAAACAAGATATTTGGAACCACGGATTATAGAGATTATTTTACAAGAATGTATCGTTACAAGAAGACATTTTCACGATATAAATATCAACATTATATGTAAACTTGAAACCAATGTTTATTCTAAAATAAATAAACAATTATTATTCAATTTTAATAATTTAATCAAATGTAATGAGAATAATTCGGGGATAAAGCAAAATGTTACAGCAGAAACAAAAACATTACAGCAGAAAGATATTTCTTCCAAAACGAACAAAGAAGTAAATAATAATAATAATAATAAAAATACAGGAAATGATCAAAATGTAATAATTCGTGTTAATAGAAATTTTGAAACATTTCATAAGACACCTATTTCTTCCGAAGCAAATAATGAAGATGCAGAAAATGAAAATACTTGTTTAACATTACACCCGATAGGTAAAAATTTAACCGAATAATTTACATTTTTCTTTTTTTATATTTTATGTACCTACATATAATGTTATTCAAATCATCATATGCATTTTTTAGATGGTTTAGCAGAACCTTCTTCTGCACTAGGAAGGCGAAAATTTGTTCCTTTTTATCAAGAAGTTCACAGGCTTCAGGAAGGACTTGAGAATAATGATTATGATCGTGTTATGAAAATCCTTAATTCAGTTCAAAAAAATCAAGGAACGCTTTTTGCAAATGCATGTTACCAAATTTTATCCAAAAAAATAATCCGTTCTCACCACCATCTGAGTAAACTGATTCCACACACAGGTAATGAAGAGTATGTTAAAAATTTTCGACTTCAATAAAATAAATGACTGACTATACACGTATTTCGTATTTCTCTTTTTTTTATTTTTATGCTTTGACATTTTGTTCATATAGACATTTCACGATGGAATAATCGAAACAATTTATCATTTAAAATCATTATTAAATCATTAAAATCATTAAAAATATTCGTCAAAGCATAAATTCATTAGTTTGTTTTAAATGACAAATATAATATTTGTATTCATTCGTACATTTCTATTTGACTGACATAAGTTTAGGTGTATATAATGAATGTAATTTAATTTGTATGTTTTTATAAATTAACTTTTCTTCCTGAATAAACAGGAAATTATAATCGTTTGTATTCAAGAAAATATGAATAAAATAAAATTATTGAAATAAGTTACTGATGTTTATTTGAAAATATACCTAACTTAATGATTTTCTGGACATTACAGTCCGAACTGGGGCAACAAGAGTACTGTACAAAATACTGCTTGAAGTAGCAATTTCCATCTTGGCCCATCTGACTGCAGAAAATTACTGGGTGCTAGCGTATACATTGCTTAAAAATGTATATGTTTTGTTAAAATACAAAATTAATGTACATCGATTAGATGCGACAACTATTATGCTTTTTGCGGAGATTTATTTAGCAAATCAACAACCCATAAAAGCTTTAAAATTACTCAAACGTAAGTGAATTCTAGTATCAATTTAGACTGATAAACATATTAAATGAATTTGTTTTAACATGATTTATTTTTTCAGAGAGTAATATTATTCTCGGTTGCCGTTCTCAGTGGAATGTACGAAGTACAGAACAGGATAGTTATTTGAGAACACAAGTAATATCTTTACTATTAGATGAACTTTGTGAACTGTTTCCAGAACATGCATTTACTCTTTTTAGGATTCTAATCACTGAGCAGTTCAGTAACTTCTATCCAATAGGTGAGATAATTATACAAGCCTACGATAAGTATAAATATTTAAACACATGTTATTTGTTTCAGACCTTGCGAGTTTCGCAAATAAAATCGTATCGGTACTCATACAAAAAGAATATTACGAATACGTTATAGATGCTGGAATATTAGTTGATGATCAATCTTTTACATTAAATACAATTACATTTCGGGCACTGATTGCTATATTAGTTAATCTGGATATGCAATTAGCTAAACAATTGTACCAAAAAGCAATGAATTTAGGAATATATTCTAGACCTCGGGTATGTTACGGAACCTGTAATTATTTATTTTAACATATTAACATATGTATTATACTTCTTATTGTTTGCGATTAGTTTCAGCCAATAACATTCCTCATCATAGATTCGGACTGGACAAGCGAAGAAATGTATCTTGGGATTTTTAATTTAATGAAACAACTCTTATTAAATATTGGACACGCAATCGAGCGTGTTTCTTCGAGACAGTTGTCGGTATATCTTATTTTTGAGGTAAATTACAATTTTTTCTTGTACTTTATTTTAAAAATTCCATTAGTTCCATTAACTTTTATTTTATTCATAGAGCATCCCCTTAGAAAATCAACTTAATTATGATACCGGAAAAAATCAGTGTAATAAAACGGTCGAAGCAAGCAGGTTGCTAATGCAAAAAATGTTACAACAAAAATTTGATCCGCCTATTTCAATGATGAAAACAGCTAGAGACAAAGTATGTAGACTAAGTAATAAAAGCGTTTTAGCGTATTTGCAAACTGAGCATTATGAATAATGTAACTCTGCATCTTTGTAATTTATAATCGGGAGTTTGATCACGACTTATAATTTAATCAAGACTAATAAAGGTGTTATAATTATATAACTCTTAATATTTTGGATAAAATGTTTAAATTTTACGTTTTGAAACTTGTAGTATGTAGTCTATCTACGTATAATACTCCAATTATTATTTAACTTTAAGTATAATTTTAATTCTTTACATTTAAATGTAATAATTGACAGATACAATTATATTTACATTATACATTGCTTATTACAAATTATAAAACATATGACGCAGTTTTTAGTTGAATATTCCGTGAAATAATAATGAATATTTTTCGTAGTATATGTAAAATATATTTAAAGGTGTATAGCTATCCATGCAATAAAATAGTTTTAAATAATAGTATTATAATTATCTTTCAGTGTATTTTGTACCTGTTCTTAATATTATGTGTGACATTGAAAAGCTCTGGCCATACAGTTTATACCAATATGGTGTTATTACTTTGAAAATAAATTCATTACACATTGGTATGAATATTCTGTATATGTTTTCATAGTATGCAATTAAACTCACTATTCATTTGCATAAAGCAAATATTATAATATAATACTGCATTACATTGTCCTACATTTCTTTCAAGGATTATTTATAACTGGTTAAAGTACCACAAAAATATAAATATGGGTAATGTAACATCTATAAAACTTTGTGTAAATTCAACAGATAATGTGTTAATAAAGAAGAATTAGAATTTCTAATTAATTTTACATAAACAGATAGCATTTGATTAATCAAATTCTGGTATATCATCAAAGGAATAACCAGGTACTTTCTGATAAGCTAAAACAGCTACCCTCATATGATAAGCCCCTGGTATAAACATTAAAATTCCTAAAATAATAACTGGCCACATACGGTCTGAATACTGTAAAAGATAAAAGTAATGATTAAACATGTGTTGTATCAACCAAGGTTTAGCACATTTTTGGCAGTTTGGGATGTCCTTTTAATAAGTCTTACCTTAGAATCAAAGTGTCCACTCACAATTAGGCTTCCCATGATAAGCATGATGGTACCTCCAATAAAAAGAAGAGCTGCTAATGTAATAGCTTTCCATGGTATTTTTACAGGTGGATTCACAAACTGTAAAAATTTTCGAACATTTTACCTTATAGAAAGTATAAAAAACTATATAAATAATATCTAACCTGAGAATCAATGAAACCATTATCTGTTTCAGTAAGCTGAGTATAATCCACGTTGCTAAATTGTTTGTCACCACCAAGTTTCCTTCTGGACATACTCAGTTTATGAATGTGATCTAAAAATTAACCAGAACAATTGCATTATCTTAATTATTATAATACAACAGTATGAATACGTACTGTTTTCCGGTTGTCCGAAAATAATGATTGTTCTACACTCAGTTAACTCTTATAACATTAAAATGTCATGGGTAATAATTTTATGCTACAATGAAATTTTGTTCTGTTATTTTTTTCTTTATTTTTTAAATGAGAAATAAATATAAATATGTATATAAGGTTATGTATTTATTGGCATTTATAAGCACCACAGACGAGATATGAGATAGACTGATTACCACTGATTACCAATAGAAGTCTATGTTCGACGGGCTACTTTATAAGAAAAGTTACATCGCATGAAGTCTATCCTATACCTTCTCTGTGTTAAAATTTGAGGTGAACACATTTCGAGGGATAATTGAAATAACTTATTATTTCCTATCATTTGTTAATAAATATTATAACAAAAGTAGAGAAGGACATTTACCTGCACCAAAGCAGTTAGTCCACATATCAAGTCACAATTATTATGCACTTATGACCAGAATATCATTCAATTCTTTTTCTTTTCTCAATTTCGATAATGCCAGATGATTTTTGAAAAGAACCATGCATATTTCAAGTTTATTGCGAACAACAGTACTTGTCTAATCTTTTACATGATTAAACAAATTGTAAAAGTACTTTGTACTGTGATTAGTGTAGGTCGTTCACTGGTTGCGCGTCTTGATTTACAATTGACGAAAAACACTTGTTCGACAATTTACCACACGAAATGTTTCATTTGAATCTTTTAAACTTGAAATTTTTTATTACGATGCTCGTCAGTTAGCTGAATCGATCTGCAGGAATAAAGAGGTGGAGGAAGCTGGATTCTCCTGCGTTGCGACGTTCTACACAGTACCGTATAGCAATAAGGGGTTGTAAGTACTAAGGATTTTTCAAGATAAACATTTAGAAACAGGGTAGTGAAAGAAACATATATGTAAATATGAGAAATAGAAATTAATAATCCTAAATTTGATGAGAAAGTTAAGTAAAGAAAAGGAGAAAAATATACAGGATGTTGCCGATCTGGTGGCACAATTGAAAAGGGGATGAAACTATACGGAAAAGTAGGTCAAAAGCTAGAGAGATATTTCTTGGTTTAAGATTCTGTTTCTCAATAAACAGATGATGAAAATTCATCGACATTTTTACGTTATAAAAAGCGCCGAAAAATCGAAAAACATGTGGCGTCATCTACTGTTTGATGCTAACAGTGACTACAGATTCAAGGAGTTATGATTGCGGGGTTCTAGACACCCCCAACTAAAAATGAACTGTTTGATATCGTCGACAGGGAGCGCAAAAAGTACTTCAACTTTTAGTTTTTTTCATTAACACCAGAGGGAACAACTGCAGCATTTGTGCATCTCACGGTAGACGAAAATGCACTTTTCTCTTCTAGTTTCTCCCTCCACCACCGGATGACTGCACCTGCATTGTTTTAAAGCGCGCTTCAATACAAAATCAAAATCAAAATACATAATGGTATTTAACGTACAATAACATGCATTTCCTCCCTTTGATGAACTTTCTTATTAAATTTAGGATATATAATTGTTAGGTCTTGAGGTTCTAATCTTAAAAATAGGTGTTTTCTACTACCCTTTGTGTTTTACTTAACAAACATCCTTGTATCATTAATTTCAGAAACAATTAGTTTGTACACCCTGTATATTCAAACTGTATTACCCTTTGCATGCTCGGCGTATTGGAGCAAACATGCTGTGTGCAGTACGATTACGAATATTTTGCACAATAGGGACGAAAGATTAAGGAAACGATGGGAAGAGACGATACGTCCTTCTGAATGTAAACTGCTAGATACAGTGTGAAGAAATAGCTCGATAAATGCGGTCACGTTTCGCTGGTATCTCTGCAAAAATATCGATTTCCACCTGCAAGGTCTAGTTAACCCCTTTTTAGGTTAACAAATCTAATAGTGTCACCTACCAACACATTTCATATCGTAATGGTATTTAATAAACATGTATAAACATTTCTATTTTATGTCGTTTTTAAGCAGACCTCATTAGTAATGATGGATTTCAGTAGTTATGAAGTATTTATAGCTATACACTATCGCTTATTAAAATCCTTTGGTTACAATACTGTTAAAGAAAATTAAAATTCCTTCCATGAACTTTGATTTGACGCAAAAATTGGGTGGTTTCAGGTATCGGGGGATGACGATACGGCACTGCATCGATTATTGCACCTGCGCGAAGAGTACCGCGGCAGCGTTGGGTGCATGGAGGGTAACGGTGGCTCAGGGGTGGCAGTGCGGGTTCAGGGGGCAGCGAGGGCGGGTGCCTCCGTTGAAACTACCCCTTGACAACAGCCCACAACTGTTTCTCGCCGTTCTGACCGAATTTCACGCCGCGTAACTTTTATTTATTCTCGTATCTCGACTCGCCCGGAGGAAGCAAGGATCACGCGGCTCGTTCGTCCAGGTAAATCAGCCTTGCCCGAAAACCTTGCTCCGGTAAAATCAAGTGATTTCTCCACTTCGTGTCCATCCCCCTCACGCATCTTGTGGGTCTGCGTAGCACATCCAGAACGTCGGTAATAGTCGGTAAGTACGATTTCTCAAGATACAGTCACGTAATGAGGGTAATTACTGTTTATACATGACATCAGATCATGTCTCACGTATCGATGTACATCATTTATCGTATAGAAATTCAGACGTTGCATGGGCTCACGGATGTAACGAATAATTATATTTGTCAGGTGACTGTATCTCGAGAAATCATGATCGCTGACGATTACTGACTTCGTACGCAGACCACAATCCGCATGAGGGGTATGTTCACAGAGTGGGGAGAATCACTCGGTACACTGAAGCAACGTTTGGGCATCTTCGAGGTAAATCGACGCAACACGATGATGGTGTACGTGAAATAAGGGTTGGAGGTGGATACACGTATATCAGTGCAAAGGTGTCCGCGAGCAATCGTTCAGAAGACGATCCTTTCGCGGTGGTGTGCCCTTGTCTGCTTGTTTGTCGCGCGTCGACTTGGGTCCCATAGTGCTTCCTGTTGTGACGTATACGTGACACCGGTGCGTGAGACTGTGCAAACAGTTGCTGCGATCTCGATGACTCTTCGTCGACGAATGATCACGCTTGACACGCACCCGTGGATGCTGTGAACCTCTAACACGTATGGATTTACACTCGCGTTCATAAGTATCTGGATACTTGACGAGCATCGAGACGATAGTACACATCATTTACATTTACGTATCCGTACATTGCGTGTACTCGATGAACATTGTATCACGCGTAGAGTATAATGTACATTGATGAATGGTAATTGTTAATCAAGTACGATTTACATGTAGAACATACGATTATGTACATTATACGTTATCTGCGATATGCATAAACAGGATATCCACGTAAATGTCACTGAATAGAAATTGGTCGAGCAGCAAATTGATTACTGCAAGAATGACATTTTATTAATACAAAAGCATCTAGATACTTCTGAAATGTCAGTGTATTTCAAATTGTTAGTATAATTTTAGTGTTCCTTCTATCTCCAATTATATGATCAAGTTCGCACTTGGCCACTGGAGGCCTATCGTCCTTTAAGTTACGTCAGTCAGATACGGTAATACCTTTCCAGGGCAAAAACAGTTTTAGCTACTATTTTAATTATTAAAGAACAAAGTAAATTTTGCAGGGAGAAATAATTTATTGATCGTAGCTGGTTTGTTTGCGTGTATCAAACTTGGTAAACATCGAAGGCTTTTGTCAAAAACTTGTATCTGACGTTTACTCGTATAACTAATCGATATTGCTTGTATACGTTTTCTCTTCGGCTCAGGATTAATTAATCCCTTATATCGAAGGTTGCAACGTTGCTAGTATTTCTAATCTTCTCTTTCTCAATAAACTGCCGGTAATCTAATATTTCACGACCAAATATTTCGACGGATTTGTTCGAAATAAAGGGGTACCAAAAAGATGAGAGAAGAAAGTATATGCGCGTAGGAGGATATCCCTAGGAGAAAACGGAGAAGACGGTCGAGTTATCTTAATTTCAATCAATGTCAGCTTCTTGTCATATTATTGATCACAATGATGTACCCCTTGTAGCGCGATGTTCGAACACACGTCGCGTTCACCGCTACAGAAGATTACCATTATCGGATAATAACGAGGAAAATATAGATCGCATCGATAGCTTAGATTTTGTTGACGATGCTCGTCGAATTAAATCATGTTAGACTGATAACGGTACTCGACCGATAATGCGTTTCAAACCCGTTGAAATGGATTCTTAACTTTCAAACTCACGATTACAAGCGTATAATTAAAATGGTAATTTTTGGGAGGAAAAAAAAAAAAAACGTTTGCACTTTAATCAGGTTAATAATGCACTGTTTAAAATGAAAACTATTCTAGATTTTTGTCCATCTTCGTACAATTTTCTCGACAGATTAAAGTAAATATAGTTTCTGTATTTATAATTATCTGAATAATAATTATTTCCTTAGGAAATTCGTAATTCTTCCACTCTCTCCTCTATCGGGCACGATTGCAGGAAAGTTATTTCAGAGAATCAAGGGGGAGAAAAGGTAATTTGGTAGCGAGCGTACGCGTAGAGTCACGTGTTTTATGGGGTCTGAAAGTTTCTACCACTCATACAATGATCTCTCGGTAATTAGTTTCAGCATGGAGTGCCCCGAAGCGATGGAACGAGGACGGAACTTTCGTCTGCTAGCCGAGGAGGAGTTGCCTCGACTCTTAGACTTCCTTGCCGGCTATTTGCCTGAATCCTTAAAGGTGCGTGCAATTTTCCCTCCTGACTTTTATCCAGCTTGCCTAGTGCTTACTTTTCAAAGTGTCAAATGTTTGCAATGAAAACATTTTTTCTTCTTTTCTTTTTTTTCTTTTAAACTTGCAAGGAGTTTGCTTTTCGCAAGTTGCTTCTTCTCTAAGTTTCATCGCATGCGACAATATTAATGCTTATGACGATTGAAACATAAAATTTTACTTCTCCTCTGATAAAAGAAGAAACGCAAAATCAACGAATTTTCCGCGATAGGGGTAGAGAAATTGTGCCATTCGCGGTGGCAGGATATCGTAGCGAAGTTCCCCAGGGGATATATCCATGGTATATCGAGGGAATAAGATTACCGACGCAGAGGAAACGATCCTCTCGCAGTATTTCCGCCGTAACCCGGTCTAAGTGGTCGACCGTTGGGCTAGGTTAGTGTCAAGGTCGCAGCTGGTACACGCTGTTTTCTGCAGCGACCTTCTCCCAGCGATATTTGCACGCTGCGTCCTCGTAAATCCGCGCAAACGAACCTGCTGATCTCCTTTTTCTTCTTCTTTTTTTTAAACAGAGCACAGATGGCCAGCCACCCTTTCGCTGGCGTATAAAAGTACGATTCTAAAACGGATACACTTTTCATCTTGGATAACCAACGATTTTATGACATTCGCTTTGGATCAGTTTCAAGTACCATCGAGTCGTTCGGAGAATCTATGTAGAATCAAATGAGGTGCTGTTCCATGTTCGTTGAATTTACGGAAATTTATTCAGTCAAACAAAACATCTGAAGATTTTTCATTCTTCTCGTGTGTTGATTCGATTCAAGTGTAATTTACTCTGCTGTGAACATACTTTGGCGTTTCTGTGAACACACGTTCTCGGACGAACAGTAATCCCTTTACCGATACGTTTCAATGGATCAGATGTGTGTGCACCGATTACGCGATACCAAAGCGTACACTCGCGTTTGTTACGACACGCTCAACGATGTGTATAAAAGCTGATATTTTTTTTTCTTCTTCTTCTTCTTTTTTATCGCTTTCACCGTCGTTCCGCCCCGTAGAACGGGTTGCCGTTTATTTTCACGCTGTTTGCAAGAAACTTTCTTTAACACGTAACGACACCTTCTGTTTCAACTTTACTGTTGTTGTTTGTCCGTTCTTTATCGAGTGAATTCTTGCTTGATTTAAGTGGCTTAATCAAGTGGCTTTTATACTGGAAATTCGATTCAGGTGACATTTAAACAGTGAACTATTCCATGCAACGATCACAGAAATAACGAAAGAGTATATCACAATAATTGCTTTCGTTATTGATTCGTTACACGGATTCACGCGTCACTTGGTTTTTACCTTGTTAGTCGGTCAAATGAAATTTCAGCATTTTCACGCAAAACACTGCAGTCTTGGATAGGTGGTATGCATATATGTGACAGACACCTGTTAACACAAACGATACTCTGCCGGTAGAGTGTAATAATCGGTCGTCGAACACGTTTACGGGAGAAAGTTTGCGATAAACTTTGCCCACCTCTCCATCCGTAATTCATTTAACGCTAATGAAACTGTTCATCCGAAACGCTTTTTAAAACTTCACCGCACAATTTTTAAGCTTCAATATTAAAGCGTACTTTGAACTTTCTAGATTCAAACTGTTTCCAATAATTTCTAGGGTTCCCTAGAAAAATCGACTTTGAAAACTAGAAAGTTTGCATTTCGAAATCGAGCAGTTGATATGCAATTACCTAATTGGTAATGATTCTTCAGCTTTTTAAAGGCGATTAAAATGTTGCGAATTTTATTACGAGCAGATTCTTTTGGCCCCGATTTCTCCCTCTTTCACGGCTTTCACTCTCGAGCCAGCGAGTTTATCGATCTAAAAGAGTTTTGTTTCCTGCTCGTCGAGCGCCGTGAGGCTACCGGTGTTACAACCGTCAGCCACGCCACCTTGATTCTGGTACCGATGTGCAAGGTGTACCAGAGTCAAGGCCACGGTCGTGTTTCCGTCATTAATAACTTGCCGTCGATCTCGTAATCTGTCTACCATATCAGCCAGCAGATTCCTTCCTGTCGCTCGATGTTGTAATTCTTCAACGTTATCGAACTTCGATTGCTTATCAACCATTCCACTGTATATCCTCTTTACGAATAATCTCGCTCGTTCAGATAACGTTTGCGAATGTTTGTAACTTCCTCCCGGTGCGCAAACTTCGAATGAATTGTCATTTTCAAAACTTTCGGAGCGTCTCCTGAGAACGGACCCCTAATGTCTCTCTACAGAATTTCGAATTGTCAGAAACTGAATAGAGATTTGCTTGTACACGGTCGCAGACTGGATTTCCCTGTTCCTTTTGCCAATTCCATTTCGTGTTAGCAGTTTGCGCGTGATTCGGAAGATTTAACGATGCCCGTTGGTACTCGTGTTGCGAGCCATAATGCTTGGCAGGCACGAAACGATGCCGCATACCGAACGCGTCGTTTATCCCGGAATAAAGCTCCGGTGTAGCCGGCAAAAAGACAGGGTCAAGGCCGTGTCCACACGTGACGACGTATCGCACGTACTTCAGTACACATGTATTTTCGAATCCGCATTCGAATCGATGCTTCTTGCGCGTCATACAATTCTCACGGCGATGCTTAACGAGCCGCGGCAATCAGACTGCGACATTCTTGACAATAGATCGAACAGCATTCATGCAGCTGTTACAGAATCTTTCTTTTCTATGTTTCCGGCGAAGGGGTTGGGAGAAGCGCAGGGGATGATACGCGTCCTTTCTTTCCTCTTTTCTTTTCTTTTACGCTGGAAAGTTACAGGGCGATAAAAGTACTCGTGCTTTTGAAGAGGAGTTAGGAGATAGTTCTTTTTGTTCAAATAAATAAAGGTAAATTCGAAGGTTTACGAATTCGGATCATAAAAATAAAATTTTCCAAATTTTAGCTTCCTTCTCTTAGTTTTAGGATCACGATAAATTGACCAGCAACGGAAGTCTATATATTCGAAGTAATAAAGCTGCTGGATCTTGAAAATCCACAGCCATCGCGTTTACATACCCCGTTCTATTATTAACCTTAAGGCAAGTAAATTAGGTTGCATGACTCTTAACTCGTTTCAAACTTGCCATCAAGTTTGTTCAATCCTATTAAGTAGAATTTACGAAGGTGACTCTTGGCTCTTGCGAGAAGCTAAGTAATAAACCATCTTTACTTCATAAAAATAAATATCAAGAAGAGTCGAGGAAAAGAAGCAGCGGAGGAAGTTTTAATAAACATCATTCGGTCGATTTTAAGCGAACGAGTCTCGCAGAAAGTTTAATATAAATTTAACTTTATCATTACAGTTAACTTTGATAGGGAATCAAATTGAACGAGCTAAGGTATCTTTAAATATTATTCCCGATATTGCAATTTAACTTTCATTTTGAAACGAATCGTTACCCTGCGTCTCGGTTGAAACGGTCTCCTTTTGGAGGCACATTTTTTCTCAAAGACGTCAAATAAATTCGGACAATTCGTGCGGTCTTTCTCATTCGCCTTGTCGTTCCCGCTGCTTCTCGAGATCAAACCGGAGATATGTAAATTTCAAGCTGGTTATGCTTCAGGTGCCGCGTGCGAAACACTTTATTACGGGACGACACATCTGTGACTTTGAATATTTCAAAAAAACATGAAAGCATGCTTTTACTTTATACCTTCCGGAAGAACGATCGAACGATACAAGTACATCAACATTTTCTTTATCGAAAAAATTCACGCATTCAAATGGAGGAGCACTCTCGATTTTCCTACAAAAATGTTTAAACGAGAAATTCTTAGCCAGTTTGCTGGGTAAACACGGCAGTTTTTCGGTAAATGGGAAAGAAAATTTAATATGCAAGAGTATCAAAGGTAGCACGTGGTAGTTATTTCACGAGACAACGTCTGGAGCGTCGCCCTCGGCTAGATTCCTCTTCATCTAGCAACTTCTTCGTAAATATCTACCTTTTCATTTCGCGCGTTGCCTTCGAAATGAAAGAAACTTTCCCTTTAACCACCCCGACACCTTGTGTTCTACCAATTCTATCGTGAGATTAAAAGATTTTCAAGATTTCAAAGAGTTTAATTCTTTCTTTTTTTGCTAGACAATCGTCCATTTGGTAAATATGTAAGAAAATATTGAAATTTCTATTTTGTTCCAAGTTTCCATCGTAATGTCATCTGTCTGTGTCACAGTTCCATCAAACACTGTTGACCTACATGCGGGACAGAGTATGGGACTTTCATTTCTACGTGGCTAACAACTGGCCCGAAGATGCTATCTGTTTACATTTTCCAGGCATGACACTATCTGTGAGTATATAAAATAAGTACTTATTCATTCGTTTTTTTTTTCTTCTTCGATTACGATTAAACAGCGATCAATAACGCCAACGCTATTGCTATTTTCTGTTGTCGAATGATACAGGTTCGTTTCAGTCACGAACATTGCGGAGAAATTTTTCGAAATAAATGTTACTACGATTTCTCTTTGGTTACAATTTTTTACAAGCTTCGAGAAAGTGAATTTATTTGTCAGACGGTTCCTATGCTTCGAAAACGTGCAACAATCTAATACAATGCCAGTTTCATTGAATTTAAGAGAAGAAAATAAAGGAATAGGTAAATGGTCAATTTGTGACGGGAAAATTGAAGAGAAGAAGTAGTTTGCGTGTCTACTGCAAATTTATCTTGTTTCCTGTCGTATCGAGAAGGGGGTGCAGAAAAGTTGGCCCACATCCTTTCTTGGCTAACGTCCAACCTTTTTGTTTCACAGCCTTGCCAGTCCATTTCCTGACCTATCCCGCGACTCCTCTAATCTAGCTGATCCTATCCTCTTTAGTTAATTAACGTGTCCGCGATCCTGTGCGTTCGACGTGAATTGTTACCGTCATACGCTCCAACCAGTGTCCTTCCACCAGTTACTCGATTCACAAATCAGAACGGAGATGAACTTTGATATTTCGAAACGAATTTACCGTTTCTACCGATTTCGAAGCTAGTAAACAAATCAAAGATACAAGTTTAAAATAAATGAATATAAATCGAAGATTAATTAAGGCCACGGCAGTGAAGCTATATTTGTCGCGATAAATAATTTACGTAACGAACGATCTTTCGCAACTTTTCTTACTTCCAGCCTGAAGGATAATTAATAAAATAACCATTCCGTCGATTTTCAGCCACACGGTTTACTGTTCGAGAGCGTGGGCGTGTTCTGCCCCAACGATCGACTGGAACTACTCAAGCTGTTAAGGGAGGAGGACGTTCTGATCGACTGGTCGAAGCCTCTTTACATTAATTTCGTTCATTACGACATCGCCGAGGAGTTGACGCGTCTGTACGAGGGTACAGGTACCATCGACACCGTCGTAGGTGACGTCTACGTGTGCAAGGATTACGAAACCCTGAACAACGTCGGGGAGAGTGAAGAAGATGCCGATTCCGACGTTCAGGTTCAACCCCTGAAGGCCGAACACGCGGAGGGTATCTACGAATTGTATCCAGCGAACGACATGGAGTGCCACGAGGTCTTCCTACGATTGATTAGGACCCTCCCAGCCGCTGGAGTGTTTGCGAAGGGTAGTCTGGCTGCTTGGATGGTTCAGTCTTATTACGGGGCTATGTTTTCCATGCAGACTAAACCAGAGTATCGGAGAAAGGGTTACGGTACGAAATTAGCAAGGTAAGCAAGATTTTTCACTGTGTATTGTACGAAGAATTGGGGTTATTCAAAATAAATGTACCGATTTCATAATGAAAATAATCGTAGGTATTTGACGAAACGGGTGGTCGAGAAAGGTTATCAGCCGTTCGTGGTGATTCGTCCTGAGAACGAAGCTAGTCAGAGCCTGTACAAGAAGCTGGGCTTCTGGAGGCTCTACCAAATAGTCCGTATGACGTTTATGCCCACCGCGTGGCAGGACGACGAAACCGAAACGAATCGTATCATGAGGGAGAACCTGGAGAACGCTGTCAGGCAGCTAACTATCGAACAGAAAGTGGTGGACGCGTTGAGAAGCGAAGAAGATATTTCTATCAACGAGGAAATTATAGAAAACAAAGACGAGGTGGTGGAATCTTTGAACGACGATGAGAATATCGAAATGATCGTCGAGGAACCCGAAGATAAAACGGAAAGTCAACAAGAGGAGATTATCGGGTCTGTTGAAGAAGGAGAAAGAATAGACATTACAGAATTGTCGGTGGAGGAAGAAACTAGCGGCGATGTTGTACCAGAAGACGAAGGAGCTTCTGGTAACGATGACGGTAGTAATCAAGACGATGGGGGAACAGATGCCGGGGACTTGGATAATTAAATTACACGATTGGATTATTCGAGCAGAGGTCCATGATTTGTATCGCGTCGGTCGCTCGAGGGTGCGTTCTTCTCTTCAAGATCGACCCGGAGAAAGATTTGCCTCGCACGAGAATAGGAGAACGAGTTTCACCAGCGTTCCGAATGTTATTATTTCAAATTCACTTTATATCTGTCGAAGAACCATTCGAGATGTATGCTAAAGTAGACGCAGTACCTATTATTTTCGGGAGATTTATCGTCGATCGCTGACGAAACTCTAACCGAATGGTTTGTCACGAAGAAGAACTCTCGAGCGACGCCGTTTAACAGGTGACAGAGAAGAGATAAAAAAAGTTATTTTACGAAATTTAAACGATATATTACGGCACCGCGTTCGTGCGAGGCTTCGATTCGCGTACGAAGAGGCACGATTCTACGTACGGGTTCCTCATATCAGACTGTTCGAAGAATGTCGTGAAGGTCTCAGGAATCATCTAGACGTATCCTTTGAATTGCCAAGGTTATATTGTTTCAAAGTCTATCCGTACCGTGTCTCCTATCTTCTTGTTATATACGTATGTGTATATATTTTGGGATAAAAGCTGATTCATCCCAAGAATTTGAATCCGGAATCGAATATTTCGTCAAAAGATACTCGAATGTTTTGTTAATTGTTTCTCTTATACTTTAATGGGAATTTGTATAATAATTTGTTGTCCATTGAATTTTAAAAAGAAAAATGCAACAGTACAAAGTTCAACGCGTTGATTCGACTTCTTGTTGCAGAAAGAAAGTTAAAAATTTTAAACTATGAATACCCATGTCTTGGGTACGTTAATTTATTTAGTGACCGAACTCTACGATAGACTTTGAGTAACAAAACGTTCGTGTCCAAACGATAAATTGTTTGTTATATGTGTCATGATGAAAGATAAAGAAAAAAGATAGAATATCAGCCACGAAATGCGCGACCGCTGTTAGAAAACTTTCGCGCTGAATCAGTCTGTGATTATAATTTCCTTATGTAAAGTAGCGTTTCGAGCAAAAATTCAGAAGCCTCGTGCGACCTCGACACGCTTTCCTTAATACAAGTAGAAGCCAATTACTGTGCCGGCGCCGTTCGACCCGTAGTAGTCAATTTTCTGCCACGTTCGATTATAACGATAACAGCTTCGATTTCAGCAACACGTTTCGATCATACAGGGTGTAGGGAAGAAAGTTTTCCTTCCGACCTTTTTTCTTTTCTATGGCTTTTCAAGCACACTTCTACAGGGTGTTACAAAATCGACCGACTCAACTTTACAATATTCTTGTTATAATTTTACATTACTTACTATTTATTTTTATTAATAGAATATAATAGAAAATTAATGTTAGACTTTGCAACACCTTGTATATTTGATTGTATCTTCAATAAGAAAAATATATATATATATTTAAATAATCGAGAATTTTGTCCAATCTCGATATTTCTTGTACTTCTACGCTTAAAATTTCGCAAGAATAATTGTTCGATCGATACGCACCGACGCAGCAATTGGTGTAGCGTGCGAGCCAATGATAATAAAATTATGAATAGCGACTATCATATAATTAATATTACAATTAGTTACAAAATATACGTTGTATGATATGGAAATATACCGCGCAAAAGGAAGCCTGGTCAGCCCGGCTACGCTTACCGAACGAGAACCATCTCTAGTGTCTAAGTATGTACGTAGTTAACACTATTTGTATCATTTTTTCTACGTTTCATAGGACGAGGATTAAATCGGGGCCGATATTAGAGGCGGGTAACGCGTAACCAGGAGAACACAGATTTTTGAGAACAAAAAGAAAAAGAGGTCGAAGCTGGGACGTCCGGGCGATTCCTCGAAGGCCCTCAAAGACCCTCGTTTATTTTGGATTTTCGACGTTTCCGGGGGCCAGCTGTGATATTTTCCCCATTCCACTTACGCTATGGTCGCGGTACCAAGCTTAGATCTTAGGTAAGAATTGGTTGTCGTTGATGGGACACACCCGAAAATGCTCCTTGAATTCCATTGATGTTTTGCCATCGATATGCATCGCGTATCGTACAAAATTTCTACTTTCGTGTCCGTTACATTAACTGATAGTTGGAGGACCAACGGTATCGGGAAGAATAACGCGAACAATTAACGACGAGCTTGTTGCGTATCAAATAGTCGATTTCGAAACGTAGAAAGTCCAATATAAATTGATGACATAAAACTATTGCGAAATAGCTCTTATGGCATATCAATTTAAAGCTAAAAGTTTCACGAAAATAACATTTGATATGCAACAATAACATAAGAAATGCTTTACGTTTTGACCATCAAAGAATTTTCAAATTAATTGAAAGTACGGCAACATCAAAATCGTCCTCTGAGCATAAAGTATTTTAAAATACAAATTAATCGCACACGTTACCTCGACCTCGTTTCCAAATAGCGTGATATACACTGAAGTTCGTCATACAAGTTGTATTTAAAAAAAAAAAGAGAACAGTTTAAACGATTAGTTGATAAGAATTTGTGAAAATTGGAAACGATCGATCGGTTTAAACGTTCGCGAAAAATCACCGTAATTTCCAGAATCGCTTTTGAATCGATAATTTTTGCTATTCCGAGTCGTAACTGCGATTTAACCTGAGCCATATTCCCATTATTATTTCGTACACTTCCATCTATTATGCACAAGCTGGAATGGAATTCGCGAGTACGATTAACGACTAAATGGAACGGTTATTACGAGAGACACGAGAATCTCTTAATCGACCCGGAGAAACGAAAAGTGCATCGGGTGTCGTAGAATCGCGGATGCGAAACAGTCGAAAAACTGATCATAGTTCCTACAATTTCAATTATTTCTACCTTCAGAATTCTTTGTTGTAATCAATCGGTGCACTTTTCGATTCCGTCTCACCATGTCAATTACAAGCGTCATTTTTTGCGTCGCATCGTCGATCATTAACACCAGAACATCGGTACAATTTAGACCAAATTAACGTTTTATAGCATGTACAGTATTTGTGTTACGAAAATAATTTTAATTTCAGGTTTATATGTTCATAAATGTTTAAATATCCCGTAGGTAATGTGAGTTCCATAAATACCGATCGTTCTAGTGTTAATGTACACTTAATGATCTATGACGAGTGCGTTGCTCGCACAAAACGATTTCTCGTAATGACCGGACGACATTTCATTCCGTTGCATAGGTTTCAATGGATTAATTATAAAGTCTTATTTTGCTCTGAATTTCTCGCATCTGTTTAACAAACGATGACTAAAAACCTGTTAAGCAATTATATATTCTTTGTTACAAATACAGTATTTTAAAATAACAGAAACACGTATTTGATAGCTTATTTTTGTTTTAATTTATATTTACATTAATTAAACAATTTTTGCTGATCTGAAAAGAGAAAACACAATCGGGAAACAGTTTTTTTTTCTTTTTAAATTAAACTTTTGCAACGGATCGTAATGAAAAAAGTGTCTGAATGAAAGAGGTCTCGAACAGAAAGCAACAACGAACTAATTACTACCATGAAATTAATATGGATCCCGCATCTAGTTTGCTAATTCTAGCGCAACACAAGTCAATGTCTCGCGAAATAGGCCTAAAATCCGTCTGTTGACACCTAAACAGCACACTTTCTTCTACAATTATTGTAAATATATTATAATATACGTATATATATATATATATATCCTTCCTATTTCCTCGTGCACGTTGCCTTCCGCTACAACAAACTCTTTGTCTGGAGCAACACTTAAACCTCTGTCGTGCGACATATGAAAGTTACACAAAACAAAGAAAATAATACTAAATAAATGGGAAAAGAAATTATATCAGAAATACAATAATGATCGCAAGTCTATCCCGTTGTAAAGAGCGAGGGAACAGAGAGTTAACCTATGAAACGTCGATGTGCGCATAAGTGCGTACAACGATTTGTATGTTTGATAATGGCGAATAATTCGCAGCGTGAAACGCGCTAGTTTTGTGACAATTGGACATTGGAAGAGAGCTTTGGGTAATAAATCGAACAAACAAATGATTTTTCAACGACTGTCTCATTTATTGTATACTCCCCACTATCGACACGCTTCTTCGACGTACCTCGACCCATTAACGATTGTTTTCATTTCGTTCGAGTCAAATATCAATCGTTGAATTGTTTACCAGACCATTTGCAAATTTACTCGTTTGCGTATACCTAATGTCCATTTCTATCACTTACTTTAGTACAACTACAAGTTGACGGTGTCATTTTGCTTATACTACGGTTCGGTAAAAACACCATACGAATATCATCAGTTAATGAAATAAATCACACTTACGTTTAACGTAAAAACTAAGGGGAGTTCGCAAAACGCAATGGATGTACGGTTACGTTTCACCAACGTTGTATCTTGTTCTTCGTAAACACATAATACTTTATTTTAGGGTTAAGGTAATCGTGAACAACGATGCTTCTTCATTGTTCAATACTTAATACTCGAAACTGTCAGTACTCACAAAACTGTTCATGATTTATCACAATCTTGGAATTGGAGTAATAACTAGTATCGTCCTAACAATGAAACGTAAATTTCCCATGAAAATGCACAACCACTACAATCCTGTTAATTATTAGCGAAAATAGTTCACGAACTGCACAAATATACACATCGTCGAGTGTAAGGTTAGAGCACAAAAATTTATTGCGTAGTCGTTTACTCGCAATGTTCGTCACAAATCAGTACCAGACCAATGTAATACTAGCCCGTATAAAACGTAATTATAATTGTAATAAAGTACTCATGTAAAAAATGCACTGAAGATCCAGCAGGAAACGAAGCACAGTAGAGATCTCGCAACGGTCCACCATGAACAGCTCGGAACGGAGAAACGTGAACGATAAGAGACGACAGGTGACTGGAAGCTGCGCCATGCGCGTTTCTCGCTCAACCTCGGCACCGCTCGAGCGCGGTCGTCGCCACTCGGGCGCCTCCGGCGGCGCGTGGTGGGGCGAGCAGTGTATCCGTGACGTCACATAATTAGAGTAAATACAAAGTAGTCTTGATGGGACAGCGGCGTGCGCCGCACCGTGAGTCGCTGGTCCGCGCGCGTCAAACGTATATCGTTTCGATACACGCACACCGCGTTTGTGTAGCTCGTGATATATCGCGCTATGTGCCGTCAGTGTGTGTGTGCCAAAGGATCCTAGATGACTGTGGGAATAGTGAGTGACAGTCGTGCAGCAAAGAAATGGAAAAGATAGAGGTGAGTTAATTATTATTTTGGTTAATGCGTGGTAATTATTAAAAAAAAAGTTGTACGTGCCGGGTTAGTGTACGGATTCCGCGCGTCTCAGTTCTTTTTTCTTTCCCCGTTCGCTGTCGAATTCACCCGACGTGGGTTCTCGCTCTCGTCCGTAATGCAGAAGTGACAGCGTGGTGACGAGTGGGGGAAGGGGTAGTCAATGGAGGGGAGATGATCGTGTAGTTAGACATCTGGCAACGAATGCAATTGTGTGTATCTTCAATGTACCACACTATTAGACGGACTGATTACTTCTCCCTTCTCCTACCTTATCAATCGCGTCGTCTTTCTCTGTTTCATTTTCATTTCTCTCTGTCAACTTTGTGATTCGACTTTTATCTCTCTCGCACGTTTCTTACCCGACCTCCCCCTCCCCCGTCACTCTTATACTCCTCCTCCCCCAACTTCTACCCTACTCTCTGCTCTTTTTCTCTCTCGCTCGTTCATATGCTTGCTTACTTTTTCTCTCCGTTTACATATCTCACTCGCTCCTTCTCTTTCTCTCTCTCTTTATCTCGCTTATTCTCCATCCATCTTTCTCGCTCTTCTGTTAGTACACTTTGTGCCTTTTTCTCTCTTTCCCTCTTTCGTGTTCTCTCATTCTCAGTTAGTGAGGTATTTATAGATGTGCCTTAACCCGATTTAACACAGCCACCTCGACTCACATTGTCCTAACAATGATTTAATGAGGAATTACATTTTTTTCCCGAATTCTTTCACCCTCGTGTATTTTAATCAAATATTTTTTCTGAGTCTATTTTTTTTTTTTCTCGTTCTCTTATGAATTATTTTAATTTTAAATGCAAAACGAGGGTCAAAGGGGAAACACAACAGCACTATTCGTGCACATGTTCGAGAGTCGAATCGATAAGTACGTCCGTTATTATTAGGATGAAATATTATGGTACACCGGCAGATAAATAGAGCGTCGCTTGTTTAAAGGAAATTTTAACAGCGTGTGCGTTTGGTTGTGTGAGAAAAATATATTTAGGAATAGTATTTCGTGGAAAGGATGTACAGTCGGATGAAAGGTTTTATGACAGCTTTTATTATCGACTATTTTTCTTTTTCGTCTTTCCTCTTTTGTTTATACTATGAAACCGATTAAATTGGTGTTATTTATTTACCACTCAAAGCACAGCAATAATTAACCCGTATGTTCCGATGATTCAATTACTGATTTGCTGAGAACAGTTTTTTTTTTTCCTGTTATTTTCTCGTATCTCGTGTGTGCTTTTCTCTTTTTATTTTCCCCACCGCTTCACTGATTCTCTTTCTCTCTCTCCCTCTTTCCCTCTGGTATTCATTCGTTCTGACTATCTTTGCTAGCAAACGAATTGAAAGTATATGTACATTTGAGAACTAAATCGATAATGTTGGGTCGCGAGTCACGGTTGGTAATTATATTGTATCAGTGCTGAAGCGGTGAATGTTATTTTTGTTATCATAACTCAGCTAAGTACATACATGATACACGCAAAGCGTTCTCTATTGTAATTTTTTTTATTTTTTTTATTTTTCGTAACAAGTAGGCAACAAAACTTGTGCAGTTTTCGTCGCTTTTGTCCTCCGTATATAGCAACTTAAAATATTCTCTCTGGCTTTCGCGAATAAAGTGTGCTTTTTTCCGACGAGCTATTTAGCGTCCGTAGAAATTTCTATATCCTTTTTTTTTTTCTTTTCTTCTCTCTTTCGTCGCTTGCTGAAACGAGAAATACAAACTGTAAGAAATGTTACTGGCAAATGCAATAATAATCAGTGCGCCAACGAAAATTTCCATCCCCCTGCGACCTATATTCGGCCGTCTATGACGTAATAAAATTATATATTTACACGACACGATGCTATTTGGAGTATAAGTGAGCTACCGTAAAATCATGTTATTATACAATATTGAACGATCGTTTTATAAACTAGGTGTAACGTTTTGTGATAATATTAACCGTCATAGAGTCGTAAAATGTAGGTTAGTAATTATCCATCGTAGTTTACATTTAATATTTAACACTTACAACGTAGTTTAATGCGCGCTAATATTTGTTAACCTATATTTTAGTGTATAAGCGTATAAGATACAATCACATATTAAAATATAGGTTATTAAATGTTAATGGATATTGAACACGTTTTATTTAATTTTAATCAATTCTGTTCAAACGATTCGCGTTTAATTAAATATTTCAATTGATGAATTAAATTTAAATAAACAGACAAATGAAAATAATTTAATAATTCGACAAAATTGATAATATACGTTTCAGAGAATTGCACGATTTAATTAAAGGGTTAAATGGAAATTTTTTTATGAACGATATTACGTCGGTTCTATTTATTAATTCCGCGCGTTGGATTAAATAATACGTGAATCGCGATTAAAATAATGCTCCGTCCTTGTGACAAACAAATACACCTATATTATTGTGTTTGTGTACGCGCGCGCGATTCAGAAGTCATAAAAAATAACAAAACATTTGTTTTACCTTGACTGTAATTTCCAACGCGATTCGTTTGGTATTGCAAAGCCGTTCAATATCTGCTTTAAATATAAACGCATTATCTTTCTACGAGTTTTTTTTTTTTTCGTTCGCTCGAGAATCAAGGCTCTATTCGTAAAATTGCATTAAAATTGTTTCGGATAAAAGATCCATTTTTGCCATCGTGGAAATTGCGTCATTTGCTTGACATAGCAGCATTTACGTTTAAGGATTTCAATATTACACAAACGTATGACATCTCTAAAGAGATTAAACTCGGAATTTAGTGCGCGAGCTGTAATTCACGTCGTCGATAACTTCATAGCATTCGCCCAGGCCCGTATACACAACACGTAAAAACCTTTCTCACGGCCAATCAGTTTCTCGCTTGGATTTATGTAATATAATATTCGTTCTTGGTTGTTCTTGATTCTTTATTCGTGAACCACCGCCACGAACGCAAATATAGCTCCGATAAAAATACTGTTCGTGCTCGTAAGATAATTATCTCGTGATTCACCGAGCGTTGTTTCTTTTCTCGTTAGGAGTCCTTAATAAATTTCGTAGTCGGTTACAGCCATGTTTTCATTCCTCCCTTTCTTTCTTTCTCTCTCTACATCTAAATAATATTTGAATTCGTCACGCACGCAAGTTCTCTCTTGCCATTATTTTTCATATACTATTTGTATTTTGCATTATACCTCACCCAGCAAAATTCTGAATTCCTGCTTTACATTTGTAATTATAATTTGTTTCGAGCTAGACACATGTTCCCATATACGTCCTAACCAGCTTTGATACAGGATACTCTAAACGGAAAACTATTCGAGAGGCGGAACACGTATAATTTCTTATCTTATTATTTTCCATGTACATTATATGTATGTATCTTTTTTTCTCCTTCTTTTCCTTTCATTAATTTGCTCGGTAATCGGCCATGCATACATACGTATAATATCGCATACAGCCTGTGTTTACATGTCTCTCTCTCTCTTTCTCTCGCCTGACTCGGCCCCACTTCGGGCAACTTCGGACGCATTCGTGTTGATACGCGTGACACGATGCGCACGCACGCCACCTCGTACAGCACGAGTCAAATTCAACGAACCGAGCGGGACAGGTGCTTCACTAACAATAGTGGTGTACTCCTTTGAAAATATACTTCAAATAATGATCGCGTCGCTAAGCGTACTTCCAGTTATCGCGTAAAGTTACTTGCTGTGCACGATACATGAACACACACACACATCCCTCGTACACCACAAAAACGGTAAGTTGAATAAATTTTATGATCTTTCAACGGCAAAGGAAATTAGCCGATAATTCATCCGCGTGCATGCGCTTGCTCCCGTTCGCCGGAATTCAATTGGTGATTCATAATTAAAATTTGTGTACACGCGACCGAGCATATATTTATTCTTGCTCACGTTTGCCTATCGAATGCGTATCGAAAATCGTATAGATTTTCACGCGTTCTACCCGATCGAATATTCATGATCCCCGAAAAATGAAATTTAGGTTAGGTTATGTACTGTATTGGTTTAATGCTGTCCGATAAAGATGTTGTTTGATTGATTAGCTCATCGATTATCTTAGCATACTTGTTTCTTTTTCTACCAGATCGATATGTTTTAAAGATATTAGTACATAAAGATAAAGATATTAGTAGTTTTATAAATCTTGCTCGTTGAGTTGGCGTTGTTCGTTTCTTACTCCGATCCTCGCATGGCCCCACGGAAAACCTCCCGCTCTTTTCTGCTAACGACATTAAAGGAAAGTACCCCGTTGCTGCCTTAATGGAATTTACTTTTGTAGCTTCACGGAGCTCGCTCATACTTCGCAGAGTAAATTGCACCGCGAGGGTGGATCACGAAAAACAAGTGTCTCGATTTGACGCGAACAATGCGACGTACCTTTCCCCTAAAATTATTTCGCAAATTGGAAATTCAAAATATCTATCTAGGCAAATTTAATATCTCGACTGTTAGCATCAATTCAGTTAATTTTTACAAAATGAAGCTATTGTCCCGCCCCCTTGGCAGTAGGAGTTTAGGTCTAACTGTAAATATGGAATTTTAAATGAAACATGGTTTTATCAATCTGCCTTTTCTCACTTGATAAATCGTTACACCGACTAACGCGTTTAGATTTGTTTGATCGCGTGCGCTGGGCACTCATCAAAATAAAGAGCTGATAAGAAGCTTTTCATATGATTCGAGATAACGCTATGAACAAGGAAACGGTTCTGTTGAATACAATAATACCGGCATATGGTATGTGTTTACAACGCTGTATGATTTATCCTGGAAAATGGAAGCTTTATAAAATTAATTTATTAATAAGAAATTGACCGTACAGGTGTCGCAAATGAATTCATAACAACAATGCTAATTAAAAATATTACCCTATCGATAATTCATCGATATCATTTTATTTACAACGATATCCAATACTTTGATTACAAATATTCTACCATCTATAAAATTAAAAGTAATGGAAAATTTTGCATACTTTTAATTTGTTGTCGTTTTCTCGTTCAATTACCTACCGGTTTCATGGAGCAAATGATTAGTAAATTAAACGAACGTCGTCCTCGTTCGGTGAAATCCATGAAAAGCCGTTAGCGAAATTAATATTAATGAGTTGTTAATGATCATTGTTGCCCATCGACTCTTCTTTTTTTCTCTCTCTCCCTCTCTTCGTTCATAGTATATTTACTTGCTTTCCATCGGATTCGTCGCTTCCAGCAAGAATTTCCGAACGATGTGAAAGTTTTAATTAACCCGTATTTTATAATTGTAATTTCGTTGCTATATAATATCGTATTATATATTGTCGTGTACTTTCTGATGTATCAGCAATTGAAGCATTCCTAATTATACGGGAACTTGTGTTTATTGAGATCAATTGAATACGCGAGATAATGCGTTGCTTGTTTCCATCCGATTATTAAAACTCAATTAAATCAATATACACGACGAGTTTGTCGCTTAAAAAACACCGGATAGAAATATCTACGTATCAGGAAATTTAATACTACCAATTGATTTAATATTAAACCGGTTCGAAATTCTATCAATTCGTGATCGATTAAACGCATATTTCTAAATGAATCAATGTACAGGATGTTTCAAAAAGAAAGATACGTACTATAGTTTTATTAAGTAGAAAATTTCATTTTCAACACGTTTACAGTACGATAAAACAGATCGATTTCTCTATGGAAATACGAATGCTATTTACTCGAAAACCGTATCGCAATAACAAAGGTAATTGCAACGAGGAATTGAAAATAGAAAAATTAATTTTATCTTAATTTATTTTAATTGTTAGTAAAATACAATTATGATAAAAGTTCATAAATTTTCAGATCATCTATACATTTTGTTTATTTTTTCATTTTTACTTTGTTGTTCAAAATACTCCGTGACAAGCATTACTTCCATTATTTATGCACGATAACAGCACGATAACAGACTGCACCTGTCGTTATCGGTTTCAATTGTTCAAACGATTCACACATTGACTAACGTATAATGTGTCTAGTACTTTTGTTATTGCATGTTTTCACAATTTAATTTTTAGTTTTAAAATCAATGTTCTATTATTCTATTTAATAAATTTAATTTTTTTTTGGGAGTGGTTGATGAAATCTTAAGAAAAATTTATGTTTTATTTGTGCACATTGGTGGAATAACGCTTGAAATTGTTAAAATAAGTAAAAATATTTGTTATAAGCGCGAGGAGAAAAGAAGCACTGAAAAATAACTCAGTTAACAGGTTCAATTGATTTCATAACTTTGACTAGTTGGAAACGCGGTCAGCCAGACTTTCCTTCGAGACTGTACTCTCCTCTCGACTAATTTTGCCGATTAGAATTTTAGCATGATGTACACTCTGCGACAAAAGTAACAACTCATACATTTTTCTTAGCAAATTACTACGCGCGCATTGTATCTTTTAATTATCGTTGCAACATTTTCAACGAAGTTAAAATTTCAATTCAGAATATTTATTCGCAATATTTATCAGTCCAATTCGTAGAATCAATATTTCCATATCGTTCAATTTTATAATTCCTATCCAGCAATTTTTTCAAAATGTTTGAAGCATGGAGGGTTACCGAAAAAAAAACCTTACAATTTACGGGGACATGTCAATACAAAAGGATTAATGGAAAAAACGAGCTGCCCTTCGAGGCATACGGTGTCGAATAATGGAGAATTTACGAGTCTATCGACGGTGGTTTGATATTCGAATCGCTGATAAAAGCACACGGTAGAAATACAGAAATAAATATAAAAAAAAAAAGAGAGAGAGAGGAATAGGAAAATGAAAATGAAAAGGTACATTCCAATACACGTGTATACACACAAGATCCAAGCCGGGCGACTGTTCCCCTTTTTCAGGAAGTTGCCACAATAATAGAATGCATTTTCCATTTGTCCAATTCCCAGCAGTCATTACGTTCCGCCTCTCTATCGAGTTCCATCCCCCTGCCACCCTTTACACACACGTGAAATTACCAGTCGATGCACAAATATCGATGCAAAAATTGCCTGTGTACAAATTTTTCACGAATTTACCCAGTTGGCTCATGGCCTAATATCGAAGATAGGGTCGGACACGGTTGAGAACATCGCAAGAAACATTGAGTGTAAACAGAGACACGATAGCTAATAAATCTATTCTGAAATTTATTAGACGGAATTACCAAATAGATCAATTTCAGTATTATAATTATCCGTGATTTCTGAATAAATTGGTGGAGAAGTTAGGATGAGACAGAGAAAGGGATAATGATACACCTCCGCTGATGATTACTTGGACGAAATCGTCCTTGTATCTCGAATATACAAGAATTTCTGATTACACGTTGGGATAATTGAAAGTGGGAATATGAAATGGTAAACAGGGCGAATCTAGGACAGGCGAATGAATCATTCTTAATTGAACGTATTGTTGATCGAAAGCATGCTCTTCTATCCCTTTATAGATATTATATTTTTATGTTAAAATCATTGCTATCATTTGCAATTTTATTAGACTGTCAAAGGGTTCAGAAAAGATATAAGAGGGTTGAACAGGTTATCGTCGTTACGTTCGATCTCCGATCATCGCGATCGATCAAAACCGATCCACCTGCCTATGTCCTGTAATCGCGATCGACCATAAGGGAAGAGTATTATTTAAACACACCTGTGTGCGTGTGTGTGTGTGTATTTCTAGATAAATACTTGTGTCCCGACCTCTAGCATAATCGCGAGACACCTGGGGTTCGTTGCTGGCTAGCTGGTTGCTGAGAAACCGGTTCTCTACGATCGAAAAGAAAATTTCAATAATGATTATCACGTGTCTGTTTGGACGTTTCCTAGGCGAATGTTGTTTGTTCGATTAATTCGAAATTCCACGATTCAACGATCGATAACACCAAACTATGTTATTCTTCTTCTTTTTTTTTAAATTATTGTATAATTTGAAAATGAAATGGTTAAGAATAGTAATTTTATTTCTACGAGCTATTTTGACCAGCTTTAATTTGAAGTTTGCCGGAGATTTTTAGCCCGCCACCTATAACTTGTTAGATTTAGGTCAACCGTGTCCGTGCGCGTATTCTTGAAAGTTTCTTGGGGGGAAAATTAAAACGAACACATCCAAATATTACCAGGATGGGTAACTGGAACTTTTAATTACATTTTATAGACCGTCGATAATTTATCTTAAGTTATTAAGCGTCTCGGTTTGCGAAACTTTCGCCGCTTCTAACGGATATGATTTTACGAACGTGTCGGATCAATAAGTCACAGCAACTTGTCTTGGATTACCAACTTTTCCAATTCCAAAAAACCCTTTCGGGTCTCCCTTGTGTATAATTCTCGAGCACTCTCAATCTTATAAAATTTAATCAGTCGTAAAATTTCGAATCGGATAAGTGGTTCGAATTGCTTTCCAAAAATAAGAAGAAAGGAAGGAAAAATATGTGGGTATTTATTTGATAAAGAGATGAAATGAAAAATTCATTTTGTCCCACTATTTTCGTGTTCCCTCGAAACGAGAAGCTGTTCGATCCCGAGCTAGCTGCGTCACGATTAATTTCTCGAAACCATGCTTTAAAGTTATTACAAAAGCTCCCCGAGGGATTTTGTGATTTCGCTCGCGCGACTCCCTTCGAACTGTCAGCCACCCACTTTTTGAGTGTCAGCTTATTTAACAGACCGTCCCAAGTGTGTACACACGTACACGCGTACACACGCTCTCCCTTTTACTCTC